TGTGTGTCTGTGTGTGTGTGTCTGTGTGTGTGTGTCTGTGTGTGTGTGTGTCTGTGTGTGTGTGTCTGTGTGTGTGTCTGTGTGTGTGTCTGTGTGTGTGTGTGTGTGTCTGTGTGTGTGTGTGTGTGTGTGTGATCTCAGTAGGTCAAAAATTAGGAATTTCAATTTAACAGTAATCCATATATGTGATTTTTCTTAAGAAACCTAAAAGAAATATCATGAGTTTCCAGATATTAGCATATACATATAATATAATTTGCTCCCAAATATAGAGATACATTTTGTTTTTCTTGCTACATAACAGGCCAAGTTGTCACTGTCTCTACCTCTATCCCCAGGAATGATCTAAGTGAACATCTCAGCCTCTTGATAAGCAAAGATAAATGTCTGCTCAAAAGTTGATAGGTCATAAAGCAAGAGAATCTGAAATGTTTTATAAACTGTGACAGAATTATTGCTTCTGTTTGTTTTGCAATGGTGTAAAAACTGTACTTCAGCATTAAAATGAAGAAATACTAAAGAAGAGCCCCCTCTCTGTTATTACATTATGTTTCCTATTGAGATTGCTGTTGATCTGTCATAGAAGCCAATGGTGGGAATAGGACTTACATGAATGGGCTGAGTGCTTTAATTGACTACTGCAGTCCCCGGATAATTATTAAAATAACACCCTCTTTCACTGCGGAAATTGTGGATGATATTTACAGAAACCTATGTTTGAGACCCAAATACAACACTACCACATCAGGACTTGATCACTTTAGGACTGTGGTAATTGGATAGGAACTGAGCATAAATTTCCCTGGTCTTTTGAGTAGAAATTCAAAAGGAGAAAAAAAAAGGCTGAACAATTTTTATGGTATAAACAGGAGGAATAAAAACTAAATAAAACTATGTTTAAAAGCTAATATCAATTATGAAAAAAACAAAAAAACAAAGTTGCTTTTTAAAAATGGCAGCCTTAATAGGCCTAGTCTCTGTGAAAGGCTAAGTTACTGTGACCTTAAAACATCCATTTCTGTTCATTAACCTACAAATCAGCCTGTCCAATCAGCCTGGTCTCAATTACCAAACACATTTGGAATAGAGCAACATTGCCTTTCCTTAGTCTCTACATATTATCTTTTACAGAATGAGAGAGGGCTTCCCTATTTAGTGCAACTTAATATTTTATTTTTATATACTTTTTGATTGAATCTCTCTGTGTGTTTTTAAATAGGAATTCCTATTTTTCCTACCTACAACCCAAGTCCAGAAGATCCAGTAGCTGGTGATATACAAGGTAAGTCACTCTCCCTTTTGATCTAGTGTCAGTGAAAATATTCCATTTTCCTTTGCCACTTCCTGTATACAGCACCAAGTTCCAGTTCAAGTCCTGCTTCTTGGAGCATGGCAGGGGCTTTCCATCATTGCCTGTTGTACTTTGTTGCAATAACGCTGCATGATTAAGGAAACTGAATGGAACTTGGATGAGCTCACTAGCTCACTAGCACACTCAGAAACTCCCTGGCAGCCAATTTTCTACTGTCATTTTGGCTAAGAGGTTTCAGTCCAGGGTGGCTTGGCTGGCTGCCTCTCTCTGGATCTGTGGTGGAGATAAGAAAACAAAGAGAGAAGATGCTGGGCTCCCATTATCTCCATCCAGGACATACCCTTCATGACCAAAATAAATTCCCTCCCACTGTATCCCAGGTCCTAAAGATTTCATCTCCCAAGAGTGCCTCAGGCTGGGGATCAAGCTTTTAATACATAGGCCTTTGTAAAGTGGACATTCAAGATCTCAACCACTGTGGTTGTGCAGAATCATGCCCCGCATAAGGATGCCTATGTTTTGATGTTATTTTTGTAATCCTACTTTTATTATCTTCAAATAGGTGTACAAAGGGATTTCGATTTAACATGTCAGTTTATGCATTCAGTGCATCTGGATCAATATCCCCTTCAATCATTTCTCTTCCATCCTGCCCAACCCTTCAAGTTAATCTATATTTTTGACCCTCATAGAAAATCTTTTCCAAATGCATGAGGATACCCACTCTTAATACATAAGGTGAGCCCAGTTGAATCTTTGATCCTCTCTGGACCTTCCCTAGGGTGTGATTTAGATGTTAGAAATGCAGGTGTTTTCTATATAAGATTGATATGTACAACTTCCTAATTTAGGACATAGAATGAAGATTGCTTTAGAAACAGTTATGAGTTCACCTTCCTGGCAGACCAGCATTCACATCCTGACTCTGCCTTCTAAGTTTTGTGATCTTGGGAACTAATTGCCCTTTTTGAATATCCTTTTTCTTAAAAAAAAAAGTAGTATCCCTATCTTCTAGGGTAGACTTTTTCTTTCTTGACTTTATTATTCATATATTAATAATGAAGTCAAGACCCTCTTTTCAAGGGAAATATTTATTATTTACTTACTTAATGTAATGGTATTAGGATCTTGTAGTTAGTGCTCACTAAGAGTTCAGGCTGCTGGGATTTTACTCCTCTTTTTCTGTGTAGTGAATCACCCCACATGTAGTGACTCAAACCCAAAAAGGTTAATTTCCTACAATTCTTGAAAGCTTCTGGGTGATTCTGCTGCTGCAGAATCTTGAGGGAGAAAGAGAGAAATTTCAGGAGGTTCTGATCTCTTTCCACAAGGCCTCTTGTCCTGGAGGGTGAGAGTAGAAACAACAAAGCCTATGGCTACCTGGGCTCCAAAGTTACGGGTTCTACTTGAGTCCATTGGTCACAGCAAGTCACAGGCCAATTAATGATTTTTTTTTTAAAAAAATCTAAGTGTCCTGAAAGACAAATAGAGCCAGAGAATGAGATGAGGGAAAGGAGCCTGTGTATTAAGCCAGGTTAGGGAGACCTGCTGAAGAGTAGATGTGCGAACTGACACTTGAAGGATGGGAAAGACCCACTGTGTGGAGAAGCAGGCTGAGCAAACAGCCTGAGCAAAGGCTGGAAAAACCTTGGTCTTGGATGATTTAGACAAGGATTAAGTGAGATTCAGGGCTTCCAGGAGGAAAGCCCTTAAAGCCATACCTGGCACCTAATAGGGCTAAATTCACAGTAGCTTCTTTTTGTCTAAAAAGTGGAAGGTGGATGTTTAACTCAAGATTGCTGTTAGATCAGATATCTAGTAAGTTCCAATAATCAGATCTAAATTCTGCTGTACATGTGTTTAATTTGGAAGGGGGAAATAAAACCATTTTCTGTAAGTATCAATGTTGAAAGATAGTAAGCCATTACTTGGCCAAACAGCTGCCCATCCCTAGATGTTTATATTGTCTCTGGTCTTCTGGAATCTTTACTTTGCACTTTAAGATGCCTTTGGGGTTCCCATATCGGAAGAGCAACACTAAGTGAGGAACTGAACCCCTCTGATCCTTCCCAGGCTGTGACTGTAACTTGGAAGGTGTGCTTCCCGAAATTTGTGATGACCATGGAAGGTGCCTGTGCCGCTCTGGGGTTGAGGGCCCCCGCTGTGACCACTGCCGCCCTGGCTTCTACTCATTCCCCATTTGCCAAGGTAAGTGAGCAAAGTACATAACCAGTTTCCATTTCCTCCAAAGGAAATAACAGGGCAAGATGGTCAAAGTACGTGTGTGTATGAAAGAAGAGGCAGATTTTAAGGGCTTTTTTTTTTTTTTGCCCACATTGCTACTGGAACAAATTCATTATAGGACAGGTTAAAAAAAAAGAGCGGGATTATATTCAAGAGTAAGCAGAAGGAAGATGCAACTACCAAAATGGTAAGAGTTCAGAGCTCAGCAGGTCACTTTTGCCAGCAAAACAAAAAGTTAACCGGCGAAAATGTTTTTTGGAATCATTTGGTTTTAGTAAATTATCTCAAGTCAGTACAACAAATGAGAAACATACTGAAGAAAAGCTAAAACAAAACATATAAGAACCTTTGACACAGAGCCACAATCCACCCACCAAGCATTTCCCACCCACTCCCCACTTTTGTAGGTAACTCTACCCAGGGCAGGTATGGCCAGGAACCCGGGGTCCTCTTTTTGCCAGGATCCCAGTTTGAGGTTATCGTTCTAGTCTTGGAGCCACAGGCTGCTGCTCTGTACTTCTGCATGGAAGCGCTACTCAGATAGGCCCAGCAGACAGAACCAGATCTCCCCCCCCCCCATGTAAATGGGCAGAATTTCTAATCTGGGCCTGGTAGGATGAGGTCTCAATACTGCCATCCTAGCTGACTTATAGTCCTTCTCTCCTTCTGCTCCACAATGAGGAGGGTAAATGGAAAACAGAGCCAGCACCTCCCCCTCCCCCGTGCCCATGTTTAGAGAGGACCACTGTATCACTCTGGTGGCACAGTGGTTTCATGCAGGGAGAAGAAGAGGTCATGAAGATAAAGTACTCTGCGGCTTTGCCTGATACAATCGACTGCCTCTTCTTGTGTTTTTATTTTGGTGGCACTGGGGTTTTGAACTCAGGGTCTTGTACTTGGTAGGTAAGTGCAGTATTCACTTGAGCCACACATCACCACTCTTTTCTGCCTTGTTCCTCACATAGCTGGGATTAAAGGCATGACCTCTCACCCCTAACCCCCACCCCTTTTATTTTGCATGTAGTAGAGACTTTTTAGTTTTTGCATGTAGTAGAGAACTCCATACCCAAGGGTTGAAGAAAATAAATGAAGATCTTGGCGAATAGCCATGTTTAGAGGGGATGCTAGCTCTGATATAAGCCAAATAGCAGAGCAGCCAGAGGCAACATGCCATCATCTTATTTGTGAGATGGTGGCAAATTCTATTTTGTAGTTTGTTCATTTAGATTTGAACCCATTCTGGAAAGAATTTGAAATGACAAAATGTTCTCTCTTTTATTTTTATTACTTTCTTTTTCTTTTTATTCATTATTTTGTGTGTTCACCTTTTATTTTTGACAGCTTTCGTGTGTGTGTGTGTGTGTGTGTGTTTGTGTGTGTGTGTGTGTGTGTGTGTGTGTGTGTTAGAGAGAGTAGATTATTAATCCATTGGATTTTAGAATCAAATCAATGGCCTATAATGCTATGTAATATGCCCAGTGTATTCTGGCCAAACACTGTTTCTAAACCTTTATTCTTTTTTACTTAAAGACCTTCAAAGTCTTCTTTAATGGGACTTTAAAGCATTTCTAATCCGTTCTTACCAACTGCGGACATGGATTTATGGTTTATATTAAATTAATTGTCGTCAGACTTTTCCAAGTACAATGCTGTATTCTTCTTGTTTTGACTTTGGTTCACTCATGCACCCTATAATTTTTGAGACCAGGAAACTGTACACTTATGAAACGTATGTTTGTGTTTGATTCAACCCTTGGTTTAAGTTGCCTTGGTTAACTTTGTTGAGTGGAACGGTTTATTCTTTCCTTTTCTTCCTCCTCTCTGTTTCTTATTCCTGTCTTCTACTTTTCTCTGTTCTTCTTCTTCCTCTCTCTCTCTCTCTCTCTGTCTCTCTCTGCACTACTAAGTCTTGAACTCAGGGTGTTATACTCTTACTTGACTTTTTTACTCACAGCTGGTACTCCACAACTTGAGCCATACCATCACTTCTTGCTTTTTGCTGGTTAATTGCAAATAAACATATTTGTCTGCCTGGGCTGGCTTTGAATCATCATTCTTAGATCTCAACCTCCTGAGTAGTTAGGATTTTAGGCATGAGCCACTGGCAGTGGACTCCCTTTCTCTTTCCCTCATTTCTTCTGTTCTCTTCTTTTTCTGGTTCAACTTTTTAGGCATCAACTACACAGTCCTTAGAACAGAGAGAATATGGGGTGGGAGTGTGGAATCCATAGTCTCCATGATTGTGAACTGAAGACATACAGAAGTTCAGGTGCTTCTAAGCCCCCGCCTCGGTGACCCGTAGAGGTACTGTAATCTTTCCTTAGATAGCTTCCAAAATACTTTCCCAGTGAGGGGCTAGCCTCCTCTTCTCTGTCAGCTTATTCTCAAAGTTAGGCAGACTATCTGAGGGATGAGGACAAGGATACCCATTGGTGGAAAATATTGTCAAGGAAGGCTGCCAGCATCTAAGGGGGCATAAACAAGAATTACAGTGTGGGTGGGAGTAGGGGAACAGTCTAAAGCCAAATTTAGGCTTGAGCTGTTCCTTCAACTTTTGTCTAAGAGAATGCTGAGGTGGTTGGATGGAAAGGCGTAGGATTTCTATAGATTTAATTTACCCAGTTTCCAGGTCTTGAGAAGTGGATTTTAGTGGGTATTGTGGGCTTGTCTGTTGGCTTTATTGCTTTGACTGTGAGCTGCCAGCCTGTTTTCTTGCCAGAAGAAAAGCTCCAAAGCCCACAGGCAATCAAAACACCCCTTAAACAATATGGAGTTCTATGAAACTCTTAATTCACAGGATGTGCATGTACTATTGTGTCACTCCTTGTGTTTATCACTGAAGGTGAAGAGGATGGCATTACTCATAGTAATACCTGTCTCATGACAACATTCAATAAGATAACACATAGCAAGACTGTGTTCAGATGAGGACTTAAGGAGGATTTCAAGAGTGGTTTGTACTCTCCTTGAATAATGATGAGCTATCTAGCATGCTCTTTAGACCAGGACTATGCTTGATGCTAGACCTTGGGGAACATGGCAGACAAGTTCCCTTTCCCCTTGACCTTTGCTATTAGAGGTTGAACATCCCTAATCTGAAAATACAAACTCCAGAATACTCCAAGATCTGACAGTCTTTGAGTGTGACCTAATGATGCCACAAGTAGAAAATGATACATCTAGCCGTATGTGACTGGTCATAGGCAAAGCACATGTGTGCTAAATGTATTGCATAAAATTACCTTCCAGTGATGGATAGACATGTTTATGAGACATAGATGAATTTCATGTTTAGACTTAGGTCCCCTCCCTAAGATATCTCATGATATGTCTGCAGATATTATAAAATCTGAAAAAATCCAAATATGAAATAATCAGATAAGGAATACTCAGCCTATATTATTTTTAAAGCTCCTCTGTGTCAAAGTGTCTTAGGCACAATGAGGAGTACAAAGGACAAAGTAAAGAACTTCAGAGACAGCAAAGGAGCTGGACCAAGAACATAATGAAACTATTTTGAAAGCCTTCTAGTATTTCCAAGATGAGAAAAAGATTGCCAAGTTGGGGTTTGGGTTTGGGATTTGGCAGCTTTCATGGATGGTTGGATTGAGTAACTGGCCATTGTAAACCAATGTACATGCTTTTAAGATTCAGCCTTCATTTTCATCTGCATAGTGTCACCACATCTCCTGGGGCTCCCTGGACAACCCCTGGGACCCTAAGGACCAGTGTCTGTGCCACCCACATGATGCTGTCTAGCTGCAGTGCTGTGTTGTAGGCAACTGCCCACATGAATGTTGTTTTGTCTGCTTTCCCTTTTCTTTATGGCAGAAATAGCAGGAAGAGCCTGGATTAGCCAGGTTTCTCCAGAGTAGATCCAATAGGGCGTGTACATGTATGTAGAGCTTTATTTTAAGGAACTGGCTCAGGCATTTGTGAGTCTAGAAAGATCTAAAGCTACAGAGCTTGGTCTCGAAAGCTGGAGAAGAGCTGACTCTTGGAGGCAGAGCTGACTCTTGGAGGCAGAAGGTCTCTTTTTTAGTCCTTTTAAGTATTTCGGTAAATTGGATGGCACCCCCAGGATAAAGGGTAATTTGCTTTACTAAAAAGATTGCTCATTTAAATGTTAACCTCACCTAAAATAGTTTCTTAATAACCTCCCCACACCATATCAACCAACACAGTTTATCTCCTGTCAACCTGACATCTAAATGTACCTCCTCAACCATTTGTAACCTCAGAATAGAAAGTGTAACAAGACTATAATTCAATTCTGCCTAGCATTATATATTTATCCTGAATACAACTGAAAGCATACGCCTTTTCTCCAGAAGATGATCCAAACATCCTTGGGTGATGTTAATTTTTTGCTATCCTGTAAGGTAAACACAATGGCATAAAGTCTGTACATCTTATGTTGTATAAGAGGATGTGAGAGGGAAGGAAACAAAAGTTTTTGTTTCACATACATATAGATATACACATACATGCACACATACACACACATACACACAAATCACACTCATAACAAGATAAGATGTCATTATTATGTCACTGGGTCATAGCTGGATTTTTTTTTTTTTTTTGGTCGTGGGGCTTGAACTCAGGGCCTGGGTGCTGTCCCTGAGCTCTTTTGCTCAAGTCTAGCACATTGAGTCACTTTGAGTCATGGCTCCACTTCTGGTTTTCTGGTTAATTGGAAGTAAGAGTCTCAGGGACTTTCTTGCTTTGGCTGGCTTTGAACTGTGATCCTCAGATTTCAGCCTCCTGTGTAGCTAGGATAACAGGCGTGACACGCCAGCACCCGGATAGAATCTTCTTTTACCCATATACTCTGTTCTGTTTACTCTCAATAAGCAACTCAGCTAATTGTGGTTCTTTACCTGGTGGAGTGACCCAAATCTTCATTCCTAAAAGGCCTAGATCATCAGTATTCATTCCTGAGTGAGGCTATTATAGTTTTCCATTTCCTTTAATCAAAGGGCCTAGTGATCATGTATTTTTGCTGAGTATTGTCTACTGAATATAAATTTGGAAATGAGACATACTACTTTACTGATTCCTGTTAGTTCAGTGTATAATACTGAAAGGAACATCTCCCCAACCACTGAGATTGGATAATTAGAAAATATTGCTAGTAAGAGCAAACAATGAGTTCTTCCTCCACACCCACCATTGTACTCAGCACTTTCTTTTTTATTTTCCAGTCCAGAGTTTGAACCCAGGGCTTTGTGCTTGCTAGGCAGGTGTTCTACTACTTGAACCATGCCCCCAGCTCTTTTTGCTTTGCTTTATTCTTCAGATAGTCTCACACTTTTGCCTCAAGGAGCTTCAGAGTATGATCCTCCTACTTGTGCATTCTGGGAGTACAGATGGGCGCCACCACCATGCCTGGCCCACTTAGTGTTTTCCATCCCTCATTGCTATTGATCCTGTAATAACCTCACAAGACAGGCACTATATCAGCTCCAATTTATAGAACAAACTGAGGCTTAGAGACTGAGTCACTTGCTCACAATTGCATGACTGTTAAGTGGCACATGTGGTGGGTTTGGATCAGGATATGTTTGACCACAGAGGTTGAAACCTTTTGCTATTGTCTAAGTTGGTGCCTTTGGAAATACTACTTTGTTTCTGAACTTTACTGTGTAATAGTGGAATACAATGAATTAATCTCTTTCATGCCTTCCATTTCTAAGATGTGAGACCCCGGGCTGAAAAATTTAGGTTATTTGCACTCCTCAGGATGAGAGTCCACACAGTGAAAATGGGGGTGACCCTGAACAACTTTGGTTCTGAATTTTAGCTGCAAAGAGACATAAGAAGGGAACCAAGAAAGGAGTAGAGTAGATGGAGTCTCTGCTTTTCATCTCTCCTATTTATTCACCCACTTAGGCAAATATGATGGTAAAGACTTGTGTTGGGGCAAAGGATATTGGATATCCTTTCCTACCCATTCCAAACGTTGCATATATAACATTGTCCATCTTTATTCAACCAGGCTAGACCTTCACAGAATGTGTACAAGAGGATAGAGAAAGCCAGGGGGATCGTTAGAGGCTGACTTGTGCTGGGATGGTTTTACCTGATCCTCAATGTAAGCAGAGTCAGAGTTCACCCAGAGCCATGTCCGTATCAGCTCTTCCCATCACTCTCTTACAAGGACCATTATTGTATGTGAGAGGCATTTCCAAAGCCATCACCCATCATCAACCAATATTGCAGAGTGCACACTTAACAACAGCAATAAAAAAACTAGCATTTATTGAAGTGCTCACTAAGACACTGTCCCATCTTCCATCTCAAGTAGTATTTCATCCTCCAATCATATTATCAAGCCAGTGCTATTATCAGTCCCTTTTAAGGGAGGGAAACCAGACTTAAATCAGTTAAACCACTCATTTCAGGTTCCAGGTGTAGTAAGAAGCAGAGCTGGAATGGACATTTGGATCCTTCTGGCTGACCCCTAAGCATCTTACCCAGGATGCTAGACTGTGGCCCTGTTGTGCCCCATACCCTGAGTCTCACTCAGTTCTTTTCACCCAGCCTGCCAGTGCTCAGCCCATGGATCCCACCTGGTGCCATGCAACCCAGTGACGGGACAGTGTGAATGCCTGTCGGGGATAACAGGACAGCGATGCGACAGGTGTCTCTCAGGAGTCCATGACTTCCCCCACTGCCAAGGTAGGGAAGCCAGCAGGATGCTGAAGGGCTGGCTCCTCACCTAGTGATTGCAGCCTGCCTTCCAGAGGAGCCTGTCAATCCCCCCACCCTACTTTGGCCTCATCTGCCCCAGTTCAAGTCCACTGTGAATATGTAGCATATGCATCCTCAAGAGAACCCAGAAATGATTTATCTGCACCTCTAGAAAAATGTCAGTGTGCATGCACTCTGAATTGGGATGTCTCGGTTCACATCTCAATTCTGCATAGCATTCATTGACCCCTGTTCCTTACTGGCTTTCAGCATGAATGTTGGCAGTGCTGGGATCTTTCCAATAGGTCCCCATGTCACCGAGTGAGTGGGGTCTATGTTCTCCTTCCTCCTCCATCTGCCTCTGGCCTCTTGGGACACTTTGTCTCATCATACCTCTCAGCTCAAGTATGAAGGGAAGAGTCTGGAGTACATATGAATCTATGCAGGCTGGAAAGAGTAAGGAGGAGGTGGGAACAGATTGAGAATGTCAGAAGCAACAGAAATGAGATACCATTTTCCCTGAGCCCTGTGGTGTGGGCAGCCTCCAGGACAAGCAGAAGCCCCGGGTACAGTAGTCACTTCAGAGGCCTCTTGCTTTGTTTGAGAAGTGTTGGTGGAAATCTGACACCAACTTTCCAACCAGAGTACATGGTTTCCTCAAACCCTTCCCTGTTCCTGATCACCCTGGGAGCCATAGTGACAAGGACAGAGCCACAGCACAGAGCCTTCCTAACCAGTATCATTGAGACCAAGTTTTCTTGAGGCTGGAAACAGCAGTGAGAGGGGCCCCTGGCCCCTGAGGAGATCTGATGCTCCCTGGGAAGCAAGAGCCCCCAGCGCGGGTCTGTGTCTGTGCGTGCATCAGAAATGGAAAAAGGCAGAGCCACTTTGACCAGCCCAGAGCTGCAGTCACATAGGCCATCTTGGAAGGAACCCAAGGTTGGACATGGCCATGTTGGAAAACAAGAATGAGAAGGTTGTGTGAACCATTAGAGAAAAACATGGGAGCAGAAGGAGAGAGTCAGGAACATTGTGGAAAAGCTGAAGCCAACGGAGACAAAGAAGAAAAAAAGGCAAAAAGCAGAAGGACCATTTGTAAGAAGACATGATCCTATTATGAATTTGTTTCAATGATATAAAAACCGGGCTCAGAGCAGGCTTGCCTAACCTGTTTTCAGTTCTAGTTTTGTACAAGAGTATACTGAGCCACTGCAAGCCACTGAGCCAATGAGGAGAGATTAGAATTGCAGCACTATGTAGATGAAGGGAAGAAAGTGAACTGATTTTATAAGTAGCTTTAGCATTAAAGAAAATCTTTGCCAGTTATACATCTGACAAAAGATTAATAACCAGAATATACAGAGAGCTCAGGAGAAAGAAAAACACCTCTCAAAGAATTTACAATCCAGTTAATTCATAGGCAAATGAACTGAATAGACAGTTCTCAAAAGAAGTACATATGGCCAATAAACACATGAGGAAACGTTCAACATCTCTGGCCATAAAGGAACTACAAGTCAAAATGATGCTGAGATACCATCTCACCCCTGTTAGAATGGCTAAGGATACAAACAATGGCTCACACCTGTAATCCTAGCTACTCAGGAGGCTGAGATCTGAGGTCAAAGCCAGCCTGGGAAAGGAAAGTCTGTGAGACTTTTATTTTCAATTAAACACCAAAAGCTGGAAGTGGAGCTGTGGCTCAAGTGGTAGAGTGCTTGCCTTGAGCACAGAAGCTTAGGGTCAATGGCAAGGCTCTGAGCTCAAGCTCCAGCACCTGTACCAACAACAACAAAACACCCTCAAGAATACAAACAACAGATGCTGGTGCAGATGTGAGGGAGAAGGAACCCTCATACACTGTTGGTGGAATACAAACTACCCTGTGGTCCAACAATACATTTCCTGGGCATCTTTCCAAAAGATTACAAATCAGGATATGGTAAATCCACTTGCATATTAATGGTCACTACAGCACTAATCACAATAGCTAGCCTATGGAAATAGTCGAGATACCCTAGAACTGATAAATGGATCAAGAAAACGTGGTATATAAACACCCTTTATTATTATTTAGCCAGAAAGAATGCAATATGTCTTTTGAAGGGAGATTGATAGAACTATGGAGCATCATCTTAAGCAAAGTAGGCAGATTGAGAAGAACAAAGGTTGTAAATATATAATGTTTGTAATTGTGGGATTGAGGATATTAAATGGGGGGAGAAAAATGGAATGTCAGAGGTTAAACAATACTGAAATACAGCACATCTGGGAATGAAGATAGCAATGAGAATATATTAAAAATATTAATGATGAGAATGTAAAACAGGTCCAGTCCAGGGAGGGGGTACCAGTGGGGTATCCTAGGATGAGTATGGTTAAGATACATGTATGAAGCTGGAACAATGAAGTTTGTTGAGGTTGGTTTGGGTAAGGGGAGAGAAAGAAAGAAAGGAGAGTGATAGACTGAGTCTGATGAAGGATATATGGACATATCAAAATGTAACCAACCCCCTTGTACAAGTTATTGATGCTAACAAAATTGTACAAAAATAAATAGCTTCAGCACAGGTGGGGAAGAAGAGAGGGAAGATAACTAACTCTTTGTAAACTATAAAATGAACTCCAAACACTAACTTCTTTTGAACAGACAAAAAAAAAAAAAAATCTCCTGGTGCAATATTGCCCTCTTTTGGTCAATTCTAAAGATACTCTACATTTGACAATCGCTCTCATCTCCTCCTTCATCAATTAGGAATGAGATTTGATTGGTGGGTTGGGAGTAGGGCTGTTCAATGATAAATGAGTTAATAAGAATCATTCATTAACACAGAGGCTTTGCCATCCATCTATTGAAGTGCAGAAATAGAGGTGCACTTTTTCTAAAAAAAAAAAAAGAAAAGCAAAACTAAAAACGAAATATCAAACAAGATATTTGAAACATTTCTAAATCATTACAGGTTCCAGCAGTGTGTGTGACCTAGCAGGGACCATGGACTCCAGCTTGGTAAGGACAAGATTTGTGTTTAAGAGAGTGGCAACTCTGTTACTCTATCAAAGATTAACCATGAGGAGCTTCCTGAAGTCCAAAAACATAATGTAAATGAAAATAAGATGCCAAGCCAAACGGCTTAAAGAGTCCAGTGTTCTTTTTCAAAGTGTATATATGATTTTCTGAAGTTTATTTAATATTTCTGTTCTGGAGTCCTGGAGTTTAACTCATATTGTAGTTTACTCTGAGGTGTATTGGCACTATGGAGTCCTGCTAAGGCTGAGGACACACATTAAATAAGTTAGCTCTGCTTGAAATAATTGCAGTTTCTTTTATATCAATCCAAGCATATGCTCTGGTAGTTGGGACTACTTTTTGAGACCTTTAGAAATGATCTTTCTCTTGGCCCCACAGCCTGGAGATACAAGTCTATTCCCTGTATGAGCTGTGGGAAAGAGGTCCTGTTGTTCTCTCTGTGGGCTAGATGGCAGTGAATCTTCCATTTCAATAAGCATCCTTTTTTTTTTTTTGTCGGTCATGGGGCCTGAACTCTGGGCCTGGGCTCTGTCCCTCAGCTTTTCAGCTCAAGGCTAGCACTCTACCATTAGAGCCACAGTGCCACTTCTGGCTTCTTCTGCATATGTGGTGCTGAGGAATCGAACCCAGGGCCTCATGCATGCAAGGCAAGCATTCTACCACTGAGCCACCTTCCCAGCCCAATAAACATCCTTTTTAACATGTTAAATATTCAGATGCTATTCCTTTCCAGTTGATAGTTCTATGCTGTAATAGCTATATATAGTGGCAGCATTATAAATAAGAAAGATCTTGAGGCCAGGTGCCAGTGGCTCATGCCTGTAATCCCAGGAAGCTGAGATCTGAAGATCACAGTTCAAAGCTAGCTATGGCAGAAAAGTCCCCATGAGACTCTTATCTCCAATTAACCACTCAAAAAATGGAAGTGGAGCTGTGGCTTAAAGTGGTAGAGCACTAGCCTGGAGCAAAAGAGCTCAGGGACAATGCCCAGGCCTTGAGTTCAATCCCAATGACCCACCACCACCACCACCAACAACAAAAAAGAAAGGTCTTGAAATCTTTCTGTACAGTTTCTAGTTGCTTTTAAACCACAGATATGGATTAAGTGTGTCACAAGTAAATGAATAAATAATAATAATGACTTTAGAAGATCTTGCAAGCAACCTAGTGCTTTTATTCTTCCTGGGTACATTTAATTGACTTTTCCTGGCCAACATTTCTTTCTGTGAAAAGCCTTTGCTCAGAGCACTTGTTTGAAAATGATCTTGATTCCCAAGTGTCCAGTGTTAATTTGATTTTCATTTAAAGGGTTATTGCCAATGCAAACTTAATGCTGAAAGTCCCACGTGCAGTACCTGCAAACCTTTATATTGGAATCTGGCCAAAGAGAATCCCAGGGGTTGCTCAGGTAATATTTCCTTTTCTCTATCTCTTCCCATATTGTAACTGCCTCTTCCTTTTCTTTTTCCCAATGACCAAACCCACAAACAATTATTTATTAAACCCCAAAGAATCAATTTCATTTGTTGAATCGATTTCATTTTCCTGACATCCTGTGTAAGGTTTCCCCCCACTCATGTCTGGGTTGTCATATGTATTTGTTGAATGTGCAGACAGCTACTTGATTAATGCTTTTTTACTCCCTTACTTCTGTGACCTCTTTCTGGCTTAATTTTATTTGAATTTTATGAATATTTTGAATCAGGAATAATCAGAAACACTGAGAGATACTAAGTAAAATGAGTATCTTCCAATAGATTGTGTTTTCCTGCAAGCTCATCAAAAATGACCTTGACATTGGAATCATTTAAAACTCACATGCGCGCACACACACACACACACAAACCTATGTTCTTGCTTTTGTGTTGGAACAGCCATAAACTCAGCATTATTCTGGATGAGTTGTATTGATTAGTCTGGTCTCCTAAGCTCAGACAGTAATCTGATTTTCAGTTTCAGCTGTGCAAGCTGTAATGCTGATGAGGTCTGCTGGGAAGCCCAGCTGCACATGCTGTGTTGCAGGCATGTAATGTCTTGAAAGCCAGGGAGCCATCGTTTGTGACAGTCTTGGCTCAAGGCTGTTCTCTTCTCTCCACAGAATGCCAGTGCCACGAGGCAGGAACCCTGAGTGGAATTGGAGAGTGTGGGCAGGTAAGGGGATAGGGTCACACTAGGGTGCCACAGCAATGGCCAGTGAAGTTCCATGGTCATCTTCTTCAGATCCCCCTGCTTCCTCTCATACCCTGGGTCAGTTTTCAATCCTCATTCGAGTTTTGACTTCTGGCCCACTCATTCTTCTACAGAGAGATGGTGACTGTCACTGCAAGGCCCATGTTACGGGAGATGCGTGTGACACCTGCGAAGATGGGTATTTTGCTTTGGAGAAGAGCAATTACTTTGGGTGTCAAGGTAAATAGGTTCAGTGAGTCCTGAGCAAAGGGAAATCTGTGAGCTTGCTTTCTCCTATTCACTGTCTTTAGGCCAACATTCAGGGATGGCACTGGAACATTCTTTTGGGGGCTTGGCCAAATGTTCAGTTGACATTAGTCATTCATTACAAATGAGGATGTGTTTTACTTCCTTTTTTTTTTTTACCAGCATACATTGGTTCAGTTATATAAAAAAAACATAATTCAGATGGAAGGGCACCTGTTGATGTTCTAATTAACATCTAGATTTAGTAATTTTAAGCTGGGTGAGTTTTGGAATCCCAGCACTTGGGGTGTAGAAACAGGAGGGTGGCAAGTTTTAAGACTAGCCTGGGCAGTTAGTGAGACCCTTTCTCAAAAACAAAATATAACCAACAAAAGGGCTAGGAACACGGGCAAGTGGCTTAGTGTTTGCCTAGCATACTGGTGGCCCTTGGTTCAATCCCCTGTACTTAAAAAAAAAATCCAGTAATTTTAGCTGGGCGCTGGTAGCTCACACCTGTTATCCTAGCTACTCAGGAGGCTGAGATCTGAGGATTGCAGTTCAAGGCCAGTCGGGGCAGGAAAGTCTGTGAGACTCTTATCTCCTCCAATAAACCACTAGAAAACCAGAAGTGACGCTGTGGCTCAAGCGGTAGAGCACTTGCCTTGAGCTGAAGAGCTCAAGGACAGTGCCCAAGCCCAGAATTCAAGCCCCATGACCAATTAAAAAAAATCCAGTAATTTTAAAGCTATGTTTTGTATTTTTAGAATAACCTGATTTTTGGAAATAGGATTAAACAATGAGATTGCTGGAGGTATCGATCCACAGGTCTATTCTTGACATTGTAACATTCTTTAGTAAATATTATTTACAAGAGTACTGTTTCTTTTTAAAAACATATTTTCTTAAACTTTTCTTAACTAATTGTTACAACAAATCACAATGGCCATGGAGACTCATATGAATTCTAAGTTCCTATACGATTATAGGAATAAAACAACATGTGTACATATGATGAGATTTTTTTTTTAAGTCTTTCTGAAGTTAGGCACTCATAGCTCATGCCTATAATCCTAGCTACTCAGAAGACTGAGATCTGAGGATTGTGGTTTGAAACCAGCCTGGGCAGGAAAATCCATGAGACTCTTAACCACCAGAAAACCAGAAGTAGTACTGTGGCTCAAGTGGCAGAATGCTAGCCTTGAGCAAAAGAAGTTCAGGGACCGCACCCAGGTCCTGAGGTCAAGCTCCAGGACTGGCAAAAAAATTAAACATTTTTGGAAAACTTGTAGCCTAGAAAACCATTAGTAGCAAAGTTTTCCCTTCACACACATAGAATAGGATTTTTATCTGGATGCCTGTGGCTCATGCCTGAAATCCTAGCTACTCAAGAGACAGATCCAGAGTGTCCATATTCCAAGTCAAAGTGAGATTTTTTAAGCCTTGTTCAGCGTCTATGCTACTGTTACCTCCCCCTTTGGGATCACAGTTTTCTAGCTGTTCATGCACCAACAACTTTGAGGCAGACTTTTAGAGAGACAGACCATCTTTGTTGGAAGGTTTCTACATATTCTGGACCCCTGCCAGTTGTAAGATGTGAAAAGAGGGAGGAAAGCAAGTTCTGGGACACTGAGCCTCCTGGTGTTCCATGTTCATGGGAGAGGGGAGCAATCTGGCAGGGAGATGATTGGATGGTAACTACAGCTGTTTCTTGACTTTCAGGGTGTCAGTGTGACATTGGTGGAGCACTCAACACCATGTGCAGTGGGCCCTCTGGAGTATGCCAATGTCGAGAGCATGTGGTGGGAAAGGCGTGCCAGTGGTGAGAGTTCCAGAAGTTTCTTCCACTTTCACCTTGTGGGAGGCTACCTTAGATCTGTCTGTGCTGCCATTCTGGCTGAGAGAGAAGAGAAACCAGCAGTCCAGGACTGTATGGCCCATCACGCTTTCTGATACTGTTTGAAATCTATTTGTCCATAAGTTCATTAATATAGGAGCTAACAATGCCCGTAGAGTGATGTCACTGGTTCCCATGTTGGAGTGGACAAGTGGAATAAATCCTGGTGGGCAAGATGAGAGTGGAAAGCTGAATCCCCATGTACAAGGCACAGCACAGAGGACTCTCTGAGCAGAAAGTACAATTTGGGTTCCCCGGGAGAGAGAAGGACTGAGGGATGGCCCGCCCATGTCCTTGAGCCAGCAAGACTCAGCTTCTGCTTCTTTCTCCCTAATGAGGGATTGTTCAGGTGCAATACAATGGAGGGGTTAGAAAACTTTTGAAGTGTGGAAGAAGCACCTTGTCTAGTGGATAAAATTAGCTTTCCCCGGGGCTGGGGAGGTGGCACAGTGGTAGAGCGCTTGCCTTGCATGCCTGAGGCCCTGGGTTCAATTCCTCAGCACCACATAAGCAAAACGAAAAAAAGCTGGAAGTGGTGCTGTGGCTCAAGTGGTAGAGTGCTAGCCTTGAGCTGAAGAGCTGAGGGACAGCGCCCAGGCCCAGAGTTCAGGCCCCACGACCCCCCCCACCCCCCCGCCAAAAAAAATTAGCTTTCTCCTGCCTTAAGCAAACCAACATTTTTTCTTCTTCCAGTTAGGTAGCAGGAATTAATTTAACTACCGAGAGGCAAATTTGAATACATTATATATATATATATATATATATATATATATATATATATATATATATATTACATGTCTTGAAATTTAAAATATATCATTTGAAAAACAATAACAGAAACATAAGGAAGTAAACCAGCAATGATAGCATAGTGACTTCTCTCCAAGTTGGCAAAATGTTGTATACTTTTGTATGAAATTCCCTCAAATGTTAGTTTATGATTTCTTTCCTGAGCATTTAAAAATTTTCTTTTAGGCTGGGCACCAGTGGCTCACGCCTGTAATCCTAGCTACTCACGAGGCTGAGATCTGAGGATTGCAGTTCCAAGCCAGCCCGGGCAGCAAAGTCTGTGAGACTCTTTTTTTTTTTTTTTTGATCTGGTCATGGGGCCTGAACTCTGGGCCTGGGCGCTGTCCCTCAGCTCTTCAGCTCAAGGCTAGCACTCTACCACTTGAGCCACAGCACCACTTCCGGCTTTTTTTTTCTGCTTATGTGGTGCTGAGGAATCAAACCCAGGGCCTCATGCATGCAAGGCAAGCGCTCTATCACTGAGCCAACTTCCCAGCCCAAGTTCATGAGACTCTTATCTCCAATAAACCACTAGAAAACCAGAAGTGGCGCTGTGGCTCAAGTAGAGACATGCCTTAAGCTGAAGAGCGCAGGGACAGCGCCCAAACCCAGAGTTCGCCCCACGACCAACCAAAAAAATTTTTTCTTTTAAGTTTAGAAACTGTTCATACTCACTTTGCTTTTTGAATAATTTTTATGATAAACGTAATGAACATTCATCATAGAAATTTTAACAAGTCCATAAAAGTAAAAAGGCAAAGAAAAAACTTTATTCCACTTTGCACTGGGTACATTTTTTCCTAGATTTTGTTTATGAATGAAATTTCTTGATGAATGTATTTTTAAAATTTCTATCAATTTCTTCATTTCATATGATAGCATGACTGTTTGTCCTATCATTAAATAAGCCTCAGAAATTTTAATTAATTTCATAATCTTTACTTCATAATTGTGTACATTCATGTTTCCTCACTGTTTTAATTATTGTAACATTAATTTTGATACTATATGCAATCATTTTGTTGTTGTTGGTCGTGGGGCTTGAACTCTGGGCCTGGGCTCTGTCCCTGTGCTCTTCAGCTCAAGGCGAGCACTCTACCTCTTGAGCCACAGCACCACTTCCAGTTATTCTAGTGGTTTATTGGAGATCAGAGTCTCACAGACTTTTCTGCCCGGGCTGGCTTTGAACTGCTATCCTCAGATCTCAGTCTCCTGAGTAGCTAGGATTACAGGCGTGAGCCACTGGTGTCCAGCTGTGCAATCATTTTTTTTATTGTGAAAATACTGTACAGAGGGGTTACAATTGCACGGGCAAGATAATGAGTACATTTCTTATCAAGCATTGTAGCCTCCTCCTTTGTTTCCCCTTCCTATCCCTTCCCATCCTTCCCCCACCCCTCAACCCAATTCTCCTCTCCTTCCACCAAAGTTGTAAAGTTTGTTTTTCCACATAACAACTTGTACATCTCATTGTTGCAATGGATCCACCTGTATCCCTATTTAAACGATTTGTTTTTCATTTTTTTATGTTACTGGGGTTTGAACTTAGGCCCTTGTGTTTGCTAGGCAGGTGCTCTCAAATTGAGCCATACCTCCAGCTATATAGAATAATTTCCAGGAAGTAGAATTACTAGATCAATGGTATAGATATTTTTAAGGACCTTTAAAATTCCCTTCAGAAATGTAAGCATTTCTGTTTCTTCTTGCAATGTATTAAGAACATGCCCTTTTATTCCTTTGACTAATTGTTGTCTATTGCTTTAAACCACTACCTGCTATTAGCCTGTTACTAGATTGACAAACATATCATTTTTAGAACTTCAAAGGTCTGCCAATGAGATGTCACATGCATTGGGATATTTTGTCCTCCACTGGGACTACCATAATTCAATTTATGAAAGGAAGCAACTTACTGGCATGTGTTCCAGAAGAAACAAGACACAGAAGTCATTCTAATGATCAAAAAATCCTCATAGAGAAAACAAGTTCTTTAACCTGTGAATTGAATATATATTTTGTATCTTGGTCACCAGTGTATCTGTCTAGTGGTTAGCAAGTATCAGACACACAGCATTCATATTTGTGTAATAAGTGAATAGAGTTTATTAATGAATGAGTGAATTAATAGTAAAAACACAAATTGGGCAATACTTTGGTCCTGCAACCATTTAGAATATAATGAGGATAGAACATGAGTTGTGCTAAATGGTTTTCTCATTTTAACGTTTGGAGTGAATAGGTGTTATATATGGTTTATGTTTACATGAATGAACCCAATAATTTAGCAAAAGAATGGGGGCCACTCTCATTTGTTCTACTTAATATATTGGGTCAACTTGGTGGAGTTCTTTTAGCAGTAAGTATGAGAGTCAAGGGTTTTCAGATGATCAGCCATCCTAACCTCCTATGTCTGCATGTATTTATTCATAAGGCCTGAGAATAGCTATTATTTCCCGGATTTGCACCATATGAAGTTTGAAATTGAAGATGGCACTACACCTGATGGGAGACACCTTCGGTTTGGATTTGATCCGCTGGCATTTCCTGGCTTTAGTTGGAGAGGCTATGCCCAGATGACTTCAGTACACGTACGCAACCAGAGGCCCCGCTCATGGCAGCATGGCCTGTACTTCTCAGGGTTGTCAAAACTGATTTCAGGATTCTTTTTCTCTAGAGTAGAAGCTGGGATTGAAGTCAGGATTTAATGTAGGGTTGGATTTTAACTGCTAAACATACATGTGGGTTTCATAGTTTATTGCTACTTTAATTTGACCACTAAACCAGAAATAGAAAGTAAAGAAAGAGGATGTTGGTCTCTGGAGAGTTTTATAGGAAGAAGGAAGTTTCTTAAGTGACATTAGGCTACATTATAACATAGAGGACATTTTTATTTGTAGAAAACAAAAACAAGTTGACTAATTCCAATATAGCTAGTATGGCTAATATATATATATATTTGAGATAGGGCCTGTTTGTACCCAAGCTTATCTCAATCTCTCAATCTTCCTGTCTTCATCTCCTGAATACTAGCCATGTATCATTACTCTTGTCTTTTGTTTTCTCTACTCCACACTTTAAAATTAACATCAGTGATTTTACAGGGAGATTTCACTTTGACATATCCATATACACATACAGTGTCCCTGGATCAGACTTACTCCCTCTAGTGTTGATAATTTTTGATGCTTTGTTTTAGAACTCTTTGCAACTTATTATGTAAATAGAAACAAAGACATAAATGACTAGTTTTAGTTAGTTAATTTATTTCCCCCTCCACATTTCTACTTTCTGTCATTCTTTTTTTGTTGTTGTTGTTTTTGGTTGGTTGTGGGGCTGGGCACTGTCCCTCAGCACTTCAGCTCAAGGTGAGTGCTCTACCACTTGAGCCACAGTGCTACTTCTGGTTTTCTGGTGGTTTATTGGAGATAATAATTTCATGGACTTTCCTGCCCGGGCTGGCTTTGAACCATGATCCTCAGATCTCAGCCTCTTGCATAGCTAGGATTACAGGCGTGAGCCACTGACACCCTGCTCTTTCTGTCATTCTTTTCTACCATATCTATATATCTCAGTTTTGCATTACAGTAAGGAAATTCATACTTTTTGTTTTACACTTTTAGAAGACACACTCTGTTTCTACCAAAAAATGGCAAAATTGTTGAATAGCTTTGTCTTTAGAATTTCTCGTTGAGGTTGGTCTCTTCAAGCTGATCATGGTATAAACAAATAGAGTAAGAGAGGTAAATTGATGATGGTAAACCCAGTGCTTGTTCTTAGTAGATCCAGGACTTAGTGCAGTCTTTAGAGAAACTAGAACAGGTTCATGGTTCTCTGGGAGCCCCTGGTAGATTCTAATAATGCTTTCCTCTTGCCAAATTACCTATATTCAAGCTGCCTTTCCCAATTAAAAACCAAGACACTTCATTCCATTTCATGGTCTACTTAGTTCCTTTAGAGTCCATATTTCCTGAGCTTTCCTTGGGCTACTGGATATAGACATATAGTCTGGGGTTCTGAAATAAAATAGTCTGCTTTTTCCTCATTAAAGTCATGGAATCATACACAAAATATTGTGTGACCTCAGGGCTTGGTGACCCAAAGGACCCCTCCTCTAAGTTGAAAAGCTAACCTTCCCTTTGGATAGGAGCTTAAGAGAGAATAAAGCTTTGTAAGGCAGAGTAGACGTATTTCAGTTAGATCCCGATTTTACCACCAATGTGTTGGGGTCTCTAATTTTTCCACAGTCATCTTTGGTTTCTGTGATGACTTAGGTTTTCTGGATGTGATGTAGATCCTAGGCTGGCTCCTCTTTGGGGTGGTGGCATGAAATAATGTGCTTTCCTTTCCTTCTCTTCTGCCTTTTTATTTTCCCCAGCCAGTGGTGGTTGAGCCTGTCACCGTGGCTTTCTTAAACTAATAATATACTCTGTCTGCCTGATTACAAAAAGTCAAAGAGGATCTCAGTAGCTGGGGAGTGAGTGTCACTGTAACTTTAATTGTAAGTGATTTTAATTCATTATTAGGCTTGGTGTTTGCAAAGTGAGTATGGATGTATAGCGTGTGTGTGTGCATGTGTGTGTATATGCACGCATATACATGTGCATGCATGTATGCACAATGTGAGTACATTGCAAGTCCAAACTTGAATAGAATGAAGTAAGTGGTTACATTTGATTCCTTTTTTAATTTTTTAACTTCCTTTTAACCAGCTTTCTCCTCATAAATATTTGGTATTTTTTTCAGAATGAAGTAAGGTTAATCTTGAATGTGGGGAAGTCAAACCTCTCCTTATTTCGCATTATTCTGAGATATATTAATCCTGGAGCTGAAACAGTATCTGGCCACATAACTATTTATCCATCTTGGGCAAAGACAGGTAACTCTCCTTTCAAGTGACAAATGATCAAGAATGAGTTTCTCCCGTTTTCACAAAGTAGGCAAGAATGAGTTTCTCCAGTTTTCACGAAGTAGGCTGTCTTTAGAAAACAGTAAGTAAGCCTTGACAAGGGTCTGATTGGACAGTCCTCTAGATATCCTTTGGTACCTTTCCATTTTCTAAATTTTCTGTGCATTTAAAGTTCACTGTTAAACTATTAACTGACATTTTAAAAGTTGGTACAGCAACCTTTGTACTTTGAACTCCCAGGGTCATGACCTCTGGTGAAGTGGATATCACCTTTAGGTGTTATTTGTGAGATTTTTGCCTGTTCCTTTATTGCTCCCATTGTTTCAATCAAACCAAGGAGTTCAAGGAGAAATGGGTGAGGATCAGAATTTTGTGTGTGTGTGCCAATCCTGGGGCTTAAACTCAGAGCCTGGGCACTATCCCTGCACTTCTTTTGCTCAAGACTAGTGCTCTACCACTTGAGCCACAGTTTTACTTCTTTTGGGTAGTTTATTGGAGATAAGAGTCCCATGGACTTTTCTTTGAATTGTGGTCCTTAGATCTCAGCTTCCTAAGTACCTAGGATTATAGGTATGTGCCACTAGTGCCTGGCAAGGATTGGAATTGTTAAGGTGAGGGTATATAGCATGCAACTCAAAAGCTCCAAGAAATATCTGCAAAGCTCCTTGAGGATCTCTGAGAGTCAACAGAAGAGAACACAGCTCATCACAGTTGGAGACAGGGCCTGTAACTCCATCCTAACAGGGAATAAAGCTTCTACGAGTCTGGAAACCGATTCCAGAAAGCACTGGGAATCCCATAAGGGCACAAAATGGCATGAATGGAAGTCTAATTTAGAATCAAGATGAGAGCATCTTTGTTTGCCATCCATAGTAGAGCTGGAATTTAGGAAAGAAAGGACATTATTTTCAAGTCAGGTCAGCCAAGCTTAGATGACTGGAAGCTGATCAATTCCTAATAGGAGGCAGTGGCTGACTCACTTCATCATGTACAGAATATTTCTGCATCTTTTCTCTCACTTGATAAGAATGTGGTAGAATGAAGAGGGCCAAAGAAGAAACAGAGCTGAGGGGTTTAATAAGTGGCCAATCTTTCTAAAAGATCTCTCTGCCTTCAAACTGAGGGACAATGCCACCGTAAATATGTTTTCTGTTAACTCACATCACTTAAATACATTCTGAGCTGCTTCCTATTCTCTGGGACAGCTTTCCACCAGTCTGAGTCAGAAGTCTACTTATATATTCCCAAGGTAGTGTAGACCTCCTCCTATGTTCCACTGTACGCACTCTACCATATTCTCCGGTTTTCTAGTCTGCATATCTTGCCTGCTCTGTTCCCATGATACAATCAACATGGCATCCACTTCTGTGCTCCCACAACTCAGTACCATGCCTGACATCTATATAGTAGACACCACAGATGCCTGTAGAATGAGAGCAATACAAGGATTTAGAACATATTTCCTGTCAAAATAAGTGTCAATTGGACTCAGATGTAGAAGGTTCTCAATTTGTTTTTGTTTTTTTTTTTAAAACAACATTCTAAAAACAAAAGATAACATAACTACAACTTTAAAAAATCTTAAATAATAAAAATATAAGAAAAACCTTGTATAAACAAAAATAATTTAATAGCCAATATAAGATATTGAACACATACAATATGCAAGGAATATTCTTAAACAGCTTATAGTTGTTACTGGATGCAGTGGTACATACCTCTGATCCAAGAAGTAAGGAGGGATCTCAGTTTGAGGCCAACCTCAAGTTGGAAAGACTTCTCTGGAAAACAAAAAAATAAAAGACTAGGGGTATGGCTCAAGAGGTAGAACACTTAATTATAGACCCCAGAGTCCAAATCAGCTTACAAGTGTTAATATGATTACTTATTTAGCAAATCAAAATTTATAATCCTAGCATGCATAGCTACAGTGAACATCTTACCAATGTCCTTTTGGTCTACTTTATGTGCATGCATATGCATAATTAAAAAATAGATCAGTAAATCGGATGAGTGCCCACCTTACACTTTTTGAGGTGTAAACAGAATGTTCAAAATTGAATTATCTAAAAATCTTAACACTGGCTGGTAGAAAGGTATCTTACATAGTCCTTTGTATTTCTAATAGGTGCTACTCAAAGCAAAGAGATCACTTTCCTGCCCAGCAAGGAGCCAGCCTTTGTCACAGTCCCAGGAAATGGCTTTGTGGATCCTTTCTCAATCACTCCTGGGACGTGGATTGCTTGTATCAGGGCTGAGGAAGTGCTCCTGGTAAGACAGTTTTGAATGTGGGCTCTGGGGGATGTCCCCACGGGAGATCTGCAGTGGCCACAAACATCAAAATTTCATAGGGTTCCCTTTCACCACACTAGACCCTCAGATGACCTTTGCAAAGCAAATGACATAGGAACCTGCCTAAAGTTATCTTTCATATCCTTTCACCAGCTTCTCTGAAGCTAAAAAACAGAAAATATAACTCATAGTGACACACCATTGTCAGAACAAATTCAAAGCCTCTGTAAACATGATCCTACCTTTCAAAAGCATCATGAATCAGAAGGGAACCTACAAAATAAGCCTTCCTAGGGATCATGAAGAATGAAGTCTGAAGAACTTAGGAATAGGAATACCCTTGTATGAGTAAGAGATAGTGCAGAGAAGGAAATGGCATAGGAGCCAGGGCTTCCCCCATGCATGTTTCCTGCTCTCTCTCCCCTCAAACCTATGTAAGATCTGTCTTTGACAAAGAAATCTTCATCAGGGGAAAGGCCTGCGAACACAGATAGCTTAGCCAGAGAAACTATGGGGAGTTGTTTTATGAGTCTGTTTTCTGATACTAGGTCTGCTGCATATAGCAAGGTCTGTGGCAAAGCTTTGTTTTACAGACTTTGAATAGAAAACATAATTTTTTTTCTTTTTTCTTTTTTTTTTGCACAAACCTACTGACTGGATTGTCCACATTGGTAAGTCTTAGGTGCAGGCTCATTAACTACAAACCTGCCTCACTTGTTTCTGCCCAACAATAAGGCGAGTACTTGGCAAATCTGAACTCTTGCACAGGTTGATATGAAGATTTAAGCTCTCGCTTCCAACCTTGTTTTTCTTGCACTGTCTTTGCAGAAAGCTTTACCGCTTTCAAACGAAAAGGCTGAAAACGTTTCACAGATGTTAGAAATGGGGAGGAGGAAAAAAAATCTGCTGATGTCAGTTATTGATATGAAATTGGACTAATGGAAAGCAAAAAATTCTTATGTTATTCCCTATGCACAGAGGATGTTTAATAACATTTAGTGTGCACTTGTGAAATTGTACATCTGTAGATTCCTTGCTATGATCCCATTTCCCTTGAGCATCTATTATCAATATTTTATTCTTCTAGGATCGGTGGGACCATAGGGCAATGAGGAAATATAGGCTCAACCTCAGGAAAATTACCACTAGAACAATAAGCACCTTAACATTAAGACCCAACCAGTAAGATCACCACATCACCTGAGTCACAATTTCCTATCACCTCCCCCGGCCCCCCATCCACTCTGACAGGTCTCTCTGAAGAGAGAAAATGCCTTATGGACCATGTATGAATCTCTTCACAGTGGAGGCCAATGTCCCTCCTTGTCTCTGCATGTACGTGGTGAAGGCACGTATCTGGCATTGCTGGAAAGCTGTCAACTCATCCACATCTCAAACTCCACAGCTCTGCTCTTTGCTGAATAGCTGTTTAGCTGAATTTACATTGTGGGTCTCATTTGGTACACTTGGGGGGACCTGTTCTTCTTCTCTCTGGTAGGTCAAGCAGTAAGCCAGTTCTATTCTCGGAGTCCCCAGGGTGGCAAAACCTCACTTCTCAAACCATACCTGGTGAGCATTGCTCCAGTGTGCGAGCAGAAAGCTGTCATACATCGTCTGCATTCAGGATTTTGTAGTGATGAAGGCAACCAGAATCTCAAAAGGAGCATCCTATCCATGGACAGTTTATTATCTTTATTCCTTTGTGGGTTTATAAATGATCAAGAAGAGAGCAAAAATTTCCTTGGTATTTAAAAAATACATATGTTCACCCTGAGGAGCTTATCTCTAGTGTGTAAAGGACTTGTAGAGAAGGGCCCATCAGTGAAATCCCAGCTACTGAAGAGGTGAAGGTAGGAGGGCTGCAGTCTCAGGTTGGCCTAGGCAAAAGTGTTAGGCCCTATGTCCAAAACAAACTAGCACACACACACACACACACACACACACACACACACACACACACACACAAAACAAAGAACTGTAAGCATGGCTAGAAAAGGAGAGGAAAGGTGAGGAGCAGGCAGTTGGGATGGAGAGATTCTCCAGTGACTTCATCTGGTTGGTACTAATTTATCCAGGATGTTTGGTGGTTTTTATTTGCTCAAGTAGTGCTGCCAGCAAAATGAATCATTGTCTCTTTGGCCTTTGTTTGCTAGGATTACCTGGTGCTGCTCCCCAGGGACTATTACGAAGCCCCCCTGCTGCAGCTGCCAGTCACAGCGCCATGTGCCCCAGCAGGATCTCCCCAGGCCAAGTTAGTATGAGGGGCAGAAGACACAGCCACATTGTCCTCAGGGTCCTCTGAATTAGGAGCCTTGAGCCCAAGGGTTCACCATAGAGGTCAAGGGCACAACTGCTGCAGGATGCTCTGGATAATTATTTTTCATTGTAATTTTTAGTCTGGATCTTATTTCCTTAAAGAAGGAATCCCAAAGCCCTTGGCTTGGGGGTGGCTGGTTTCTGAGTGGCTAATGCCCCAAACACGTGGAAATATTGCTGCATGTTTAAGTAATAGCCTCAAAGTCACAAATCTCGTGGGAGGCTTGAGTTTAAGATTGAATCCCGGCTTGTGGACCTTTGTTTCTTCCCTTCCTGGTGTGATGAGACTTTCCTGCTGGGTTTCTGCAGGGGACACTGAGTAAGAGTTGCTGAAGGGAGGGTGCATGATGAGGGAGAAGGAGAATGGAATGACTACGGGGCTTCTGGGATGCACTTTGATATTCATGTTGTGATGATTGTATTTTGTTGTTGTCCTTGGTAAAGCTGCTTGCTTTACCAGCATTTGCCAGTGACCAGGTTCTCCTGTACCCTGGCTTGTGAGGCCAGACACTCCCTGCTTGAAGGGGAGCCAAGACCCTTGGCTATGAGGAAGCCCACCCCTGCACACCCTGTCATGGTGGACCTCAGCGGGACGCAGGTAGGACAGACTTTGATTTATTGTCAAAGCTAATATTCCCTTCTATCCATACCTGACCACAATTGCTTCTCAGACCCAGGGGACTCTGGAAGAATTTCTCAGAGGTGTTGGTCAACCTTTGCTGACTTCTCTGGTTTGGGTTGGGCCTGGATGGCGCCTCACACTGAGCTGCATTGGGCTGCTCCCAGAGCAGTCCCTCAACATAGCAAGGGGCATGGGCAACCACAGAATCCTTTTTGTTGGGTTACTCAGACCTAGGGGACATTGCATTCTACCTGACTCAGGCAAAGACTCAACCTTAAAAGCCTCCAGACACTTCCTGGCTGACCCTAAAAGGACAAATATCTCACTGCACAATCCTGTAGGCTAAGCAATTTGTAACAATTAAATTCCTGGGGCTCAGAACCTGGAACTGCTACACTCTGAGGCAGCTTGCCTTGTGGTTTGGAGGACGAGTTATTACAGGCCTTGGTACTGCTTTTCTTCCAGGAGTTCTTTGAGCCCCAAAACCAGATGTAAGAATGTGTTGATTCAAGATTTGAATTAAAAGTACAGCATATTAGCAATAAGAACCCATAATGCAGCCTTTCAACATGAACACAGTAAACCCAGCTTCCTCTACTGCAGCTTCATTTACCATTAGAGAAACTGTTTATTCAGAGATTCATTATGTGAAATGAAAATGTCAGTGGCCTTAATTCTTCCCAAACATTTAGATGTATATATTCTCCCAACATTTTAAAGGTAGCAGCTAAAAGTATTAGGTATATTTTTAAAATAGAGTCTTCATTGCATTTTAATTTTTTTAGAATTTTTATTTTATGAAACATGCTTGTTATATTGAGTAAGGAAAGATAAGTGTAGATAAACAAAGTATAGTGAAATAGAATAGAAACAAAATGATCTTCCCTCTACTCCACTCGAACATTAAGTTTACTGCATTCCTTTCTATGTAGTGTACACACATACAGCCATACTTTGCACATACATACACATAAACAATATACATGCGTACCTATACATATGTGCATGCATTTGTGTGCATTGTGTGTGTGTCTGTGTGTTCCTGCAGCAAAGGGGCACAGCTAAGGTAAACCAGGCCTCCAAAGACATATTAATGACATAGATCATGTGTCACCTTTAGTTTAGCCCAGAGCTACAGCCATTTCAGATTGATTCATAAAAAGACTGATTCCTGAGCTGTTCTTTTTTATTGGGCAATACTTTTTACTGTTTTATCTAAATGCCTACAGATAAATAGTGGCATTATAGTATCCTTTAGCCCCTGTGGCTATATGAATTTAAATTAATTACATCTAACTGTGACTAAAAAGTCAGCTCCTCAGTTGCCCTAGTCACATTTCAAGGTATCCATAGTTACCTGTCCAGTGTTTGACAGTGTAGATGACAGAATATTTTTATCATCACAGGAAGTTCTCTGGACAGTACTGTTATTGATTATTATGCCAAAATTCACTTACAGAATTAGAAGAGGCCCTAAAAGATATCTGACATTATTTTTATGTGTGCATAGTGTGCTGGTAGGCAAGTGATGTACCATTCAGCTACATCCTCAGTCCCAAATTGATTCTTTTCATATTATTCTTGTGGGATTAATTTTCTTCTGGATATGAAACAAATACATTTCATGTTTTCAGGTTTGAATCTCCTCCCTAAAATATCTCAGTATGTATATGAAAGAATTCTGAATTCTGGAAAACTCCAAAATCTCAAACATTCCTTGTCCCAAACATTTCATAGAAGGGATATTCAATCTGTACCATCATGTTTCATGAGGACCTCCACAATAGCCACCTAATCAACTCAGCCCCACCTGCTCTTGTTCACTGTATCTCCCAGTCCATTCTCCATGCTACAGGAGCCATGCTACATGCTCATTCTGAGAGGAATATCTGATCATCATTGCCTTCCAGCCCTACCACACACACACATACACACATACATGTATGAATGCACACACAAATGCATGCACACATACAATCTAAACATTATAATATCCCATCCGATAGAGACAAACATTTCACTATGTGCTATAAGATTGCTTTTATCTCTCAATGTATCATACTGCTGTTGCTCTGTTCCTTGTCACTCTGGTCTACCTTCAGTCTCTTGGAGTTACATTGCATGTGGCCCAGTTACATTTTACGTTGTAGTGGAGCCTCCTACTACAGGCTGTTTTGCTATTCTTCCTCCCCTCCCCTTGTGATCTAGTTCTTACTCTCCTCAACAAAACCATTGCTTCTTCTGGGAAACCATCTCCTCTCCTGTATCTTCCTGATTAGGTCAGGCCTATCTCACATGTGTCTAGAATACCTCTTCTGAGTTTTATCATAAATGTACTTTTACATCCTAATTTTCATGTTGTCTATTATTTGATTAAAGTCTGTCTGAAAGGCAGATCACTATCTGCCTTATTTCCTACACATGCCCAGCAACTGGCCAGTGGCCTGACCTAGGGCAGATGTATAATTTGTTGGCCAAATTATTTAAATCCTCATTTCAACATTCAGCTATCCTCTCTTAGCTTTGCAAAAACAACAGAGCTGATGAACCCACTTTCTGTGTCTTTACCCTGAAAAAATAAATAGGAGAGGGCAGGTTTGGCAACAAAACTAGTTTGACACAGGTTCCAGTCAAGTTTCCCATTTAAAAGGTAAATAATGGAGACCAAAAATATAAACTTTCTGTTACTCATTTTTTTTGTCTTTTACGTGAGTTCATCAAAACTTGCTTTTACCATCAAATGTACTGTAAATTCTTCCAACCATTCTTCAAAAAAAAAATCAATCACAGGACTCAAAGAAGGAAGCTCAGTGGAAATTTACAATAGAGTGCTGCTAGAACTCAAACCAAATAAAAACCTCTGGGAGAAGTCCTGATAAGTCATTGAGCCACTTCTGCTGTGTGGTGGGGTAAAGATGGAGAAGCATTCATTTGGAGAGGCCCAGGGGAGAGAAGCTTGTAATGACTTCTCTATATAGGCCAGTGGCTATGCAGTACTTCACTCTCTAAGAGCAAAAATGGGGTGGATTATCCATGTTTTCCCCCAAGGGAAGTCTTTCTATTATTTAAGTGGTAGGAAAAAAAATCACTGTGAAAAATAGTAATTATGTGGTTCAGGCTATTCAGAAGGAACAGTAAATATGAACTTCCTGAAGGCAAGGACCATTTAAATTAAGTGTGGTAATGTTCTGCTGAGCCTGAGCTTATGGAATGAGTTAGTTAATACTACTAAGAAATGTAACTCCAGTGTTGGCTCAAGTATTAACTGTATACATATAACACTTTAACTTAGTTATTTGACTTCTGGGAACCTTATAGAAATACTAGCACAAGGATGTATAGATGATGATGATGATGATGATGATGGTGATGATTTAATAGTATATGATGTAGAGAAAGTTATGAAGGGCCTAAGTGTCCATTAACAGGCAGTAAGATAATTTTATGTTTGTGCTATAGAATGTTAGCTATTACAAAATGAGGTATGGCTACACAGCTAAAGCTGAAATACTATTGAGAAAAAGCAAATCATGGCAAAAGCAATAATCACAATTGTCATCACCAGTGTTTGTGTAGTTTATTACATGCTACCCTCAGTTTGAAGAGCTCTACCTGTATTAACTCATTTAATCCTCATAACCATCTTAAGAAGTAGGTACTGATGTTATCCTCATTTTATATGGAGGATACTGACACAAGATATCAGTGACAAGCCCTGGAACCACAGACAATCTGACTGCACATCCCAAACTCAGACCCAGTAGTTAATAAGTCATCTGTATTTTTTCCACATCCTTTCTCACATTTATTACTCTTTTGACACATAACCATTCTTCCAGGAGTCTCCTCTGTCCTCTCTGTTGTGGATATTAACATCCCGAGGGCATCACAGATCTGGATGACCATCTGTCTGCTCCACCTCTTTGGCAGGTGGAATTGCATCTGCCGCTGCATGTCCCACAAGTGGGCCACTACATGATTGTGCTGGAATATGCCACTGAAGTAGACCAGTTGTCTGTGGTGGATGTCAGTGTGAAGAGCCCTGGGTCTGTTCTGGGAGGCCAGGTGAACATATACAGCTGCAAGTACAGGTAACCAGTTTTATCCCCAGGAATTCCTCTGCACAAGACAAGTAGGAGGTCTGCCTGGAGGAGCTTCCATTTTTATTTGCATTGGAGCCTTGTTTTTTTCTTTGAGGAAACAAACATCCCCAGCATGGATGTTGGGAGTCCTGTATTTTCTTAAAAGATCACATGGTCTACCTAGAAATTTGGTTCAGATTCAGTGATGCTGCCCAACTACTTTAATTTTTTATCAGCCCTGCATGGTGCAGTGAATTCAGTATTCTCACCTCAAAGGCTCTGTAAGGTATACAGATGCACAGTGTAATGAAAAAAAAGATTCCTTTTCAATGTTAAGAAGTATATACCTGCTTTTGCAACATGCTATCAGAGCTGGGGTAACTCATGTTGAATTATTATCAGGTGAAAAAAAAGACAAGGTTTAAAAAATTGTCTTGATAAAGTTCTTCTTCTGAGAGCACTCACTGGACAGCATATTAAAAATGGTTTCTTTGCATAGCATTTCAGGGACTTGCTTTTATTAAAGCATCAGTACAAGAGGTGTTTCCACATGATTATATAGGTGACTGTAGGAGTTGGAGTCCCTTGAAATAGCAGTTGGAGAACTACAGTAAATCTACCAGGTTTTGCCCAAAGTCTTGAACATTCTATTTCTTCTATATTCATGTTGCCTGTTGTCAAACACAGATCACTTGAGTATTTGGATATCTTCCCTGAAAGCGGAAGAAGTTACGCAAGAAGTAATACTTTTTAGTTGTTTAGAATGGAAACTTTTACAAGACTTAATAGAATGGCTATTGAATTAATGTTAAGCCCTCATAACCCTAAAAACACAACCCTGAAGGCTTTGTGTAGTGGAATAAGGGTATGTGTGTGGGAGTATAGAAGGACAGACCCAAACCCAGGGTCTTGTGTGTATGAGGCAAATAATCTACCTCTATGCCTTTCCTCTGCTCTGACCTTGAATTTTTAATACAAACACGAGATGGGTTTCAAAGAGTTCCCCAGAATGTTCTTGCGCTGTGAATAGATGATTTCATCTACAGGTGACATTAGCCCCACTGGAAGTACACTCTTAGTGCATTCTCAGATGGCAGGACACTTCCTCACTGGAAGCCAGCCACAGAGCTTTGGGAAGGGCAGCTCCATACCCATCCCTACAAGCCCACCTTCCAGTTGAACTCCATCTCCTCCACCTTCCAGATCATGCGGCTTAATTCTGATGTTACATGATCCAAAGTAGAGACGGCTTTAGTGACGCTTGGAATCATCTCAGAAGGGCTCTGAGAATATTTCAGACACAAAACATTTCAAAACCAAAGAAAGAAGGAATTCGCTTTCAGGATTCCATGAGGGTTGTCTGAATGGGGTCACTGAGGGGGAACTACATGACACTCTACATAAGAACCCCAAAGTTTGCTTTACAAGTCTCTGTTATTAGACTTCTAGGACAGCATTCCAGTAGACTGTGAATGAACAATTTCCAGCTGCATTGTATTTCTTTTAAAACTCAGCTACAATATTTCCTTTCTCTTTTCCTCAACCATCGCATAGGTGAGTGAAAATGAATTGGCCACAAATAAGGGAATCTGAACTATGGCATTATTGGAATTATTTGTCCCCGAAAGACCCCCATTTTAAATGACAAGCTTGTTTAACATTGTACTATCTTCTGCTGATGTTCAAAGGTTTTCTAGCCTTTCTCAAGTGAGTTATAACTAGATTGTTAAAAATAAAACCAATATCTCAGCAAAATAGCAGTAGTGTTAGCAAGAATACCACTTTCCAAAACAGTGATAATTCAAGTCTTCTTTCCACAGGGAAGTGACCACCCGTAATTAAATTAGTACTCCTACTCCTATTAAGTTATTTCTTAGTAAGAATTTAATAAAGCATAAAGCTAAACTTCAATAAATCACTATATTTAATACCTCCTAGAATTTTGCTTAAATCCAAAAGAAATGTGTTTGAATTCATACACACCCATGCACACACACACGCACACACACACACACACACATGATTATTTAATTTCTAATATATGCACAAATTCTGTTTTGTATATTTTATTTTATTTTAGTCTTTATCCATAGCCATTGCCTAAATTATTGCAAATATTTATCAGGAATAGTCACTTTGTCTTAATATGTCACTTGTTTCATATTATATTTATAAACAGGAAAGTTTCTATAGAATATGAAACTAGAAGGATTCTAGTTTCCTTTATGGATTCCCATTTCCTTTATGGGTTTTACCACTACAAAGAATATTACCATTAGAAGAGTGCCATTGTATTATTTAGTGTGAAACTGTGTTATTTTAAATTATCTCAAACTGTCGCTTACCAGTGGGAGGTAGGAATGAGGAAGGAAGGAGGGTTGAGTATTGAAGGCAAAGTCTGGGTTTTTTCCTGGATGTTGATTAAGATCAGCCATGTTTAGTGAGTGTGGGATGATCACGGATTGGTACTTTAATTTTGAATAGTTCAGAGAATACTGGCAAATTTCCAAGAAGTCAGTGTGTTGGAGATCTGCATCACCACCCTTGGGCTGTTTTTTTTTTTCCATGACTAAAACACATGTTTCATCAAGTCAGATGGAAAAGGTAAGCTGGGCCTTTAGCCCTGAGAGGTGTAGCAGTGGCCACATTTCCCATGGAAATTCTTAGTTATTTGTGCTACTACAACAGAAGATCTCATATAGCATCGTTTATAAAGAAAAGAAGCTGGTTTCTCACAGTTTTGGGAAGTCCACAAACATGGTGCTAGAGCCTTTGTGCTGAATTAGCCCTTACTGGAATGTGGAAGGACAGCAGGGCACATGCGTGGAAGATCCCACTTTTATCACAAAACCACCTGGACATAACTAACCCACTCCCAAGACAACCACACTAATCCGTTCATGAAAGACAAGCCCTTGAGTCCTAACCACTTCTTAAATGTCAGGGTGGCGATTAAATTACAAAAATGAGTTTTGGAAGGGACATTGAAACCCTGGTAGGCTACACTCCCTCTTCATCTGTGATGCAGGAAATCTCACTTGTTTCATTTAGTTATATGTAACAGAAACTGAAGAAAATCAGCCAGCCCGGATGAAGGTACACAAGGAGGGAGACTCCCACCTTTAAGGCTGAGGAAACTCTGTTCCCTCTTGCAGCATTCTCTGCCGGAGCCTGGTGGTTGATAGCATGAGTCGCGTGGCTGTGCATGAACTATTAGCAGATGCAGACATTCAGCTCAAGGCACACAAGGCCCAGTTCCTTCTGGTATGCTTCTGTTTTGCTTATTAAACTTTAGAAGAGTTTGCATGTTAGGAGTTTGGCTCTCTTGGATTATATCTATAAAATTAATCTATGAAGAATTGCCAGTTTAATGGGTGTTCTTCTCATCAACAGCTGAACTTGCCTCTTCATTTATTTGAGTCTTTATAATATTACCTCATAAACTTTAGCCATCAAATGTGACCATCTCACAAATTCCATTTCATTAAGTTTTATTAATTGCTAGTAGAAATGAAGTTGCTTTTGTTTTTGTATCTCTTACCTTAGTGTTAATGCCAGAGTATAAAAATGTCATTGGTTATTTAATTGTTTTCCCATTTTACTGTCCTATTATCCCTTATTAAATTGCAAATTCCATCAAGCCTTTACATTTTATAATCACTTTTTAAAACTCAATTTTAGCTGAGTGCTGGTAGTTCATACCTGCAGTGCTAGCTACTTGAGAACTAGAGCAGCCCAGTTTAAGACCAGCCTGGGCAGAAAAGTTTGTGAGACCCGATCTTAAAATAATCAGCAAACAAACAGAGCTGGAGGCATGGCTCCAGTAGTACAGTGCCAACCTAGCAACTCAAAGCACTGAGTTCAAACCCTAGTGTTAGAAAACAACAACAATAGCAAATATCAAAAACACTTTCTCTATTTCACGAGTATTAGTTGGATATACACTCTTAAGAGTTAAAATGAGATAGGTGCCAATGCCTGTAATCCTAGCTACTCCAGAGGCTGAATCTGTTCTGAGGATCATGGTTCAAAGCCAGCCCGGGCAAGGAAAGTCCATGAGACTTATCTCCAATTTACCACCAGAAAACCAGAAGTGGTGCTGTGGCTCAAGTGGTAGAGCACCTGCCTTGAACTAAAGAGCTGAGAGATGATGCCTAGGCTTAGAGTTCAAGCCCCATGACAGACAAAAAAAAGGAAGAAAAAAAAGTTAAAATGACAACTGGAAAAGCTCAGTAACAATCATGCATACTCTTGTAATGATAGAACTTGAACACAGACACAATAAGATCTGTCTAGGAAAGTGTGGTAAGATTTATAATTAGTATCTCAGGGAATTTCAGGTTATCCACATGTGAAGTAACTTCCTATTATGACAAGTATTAAGCATGTATCATGCCCTGGGAAATGCCAGGCCAGCTTATTAGACTATGTCTGACCTATTTGTGCCTGATAATATTCAAACCTTTGAATATAAGAAATTAGTGTTCTTAAAATTCTGACAGAATTATAGCTGTCTTATTGAAACATAGCAGTCCAAGCAAATCAAACCTCATTGTGGGAAATTATCCTGGGAATTTGACTTTTCATTTTTTTAAGTAGAGCGTTATCATTTTTAAAATAGCTGCGTGTCATTGAGGGTCAAGGTTGACTAGAACAAATGTTCCATGAGGGCTGGGGTCTTGTACATCTTGGTCTTATAGTATTATAATCTCTCCCTTTCCAGTCTCAGTGATATTCAATAATTTTTTGTTCTTCCTAATACTTTTACCAACAAGTTGGTTATTACCAGTTTTGATTTTAAATATATTATACTGATAATTAACAATGCCTTTCTTTGCTTTTTTGGTCCAAGACCAGAACTTGGTACCTGATGCTTTTGCTCATTGGCTAGCATCTACCAATTGAGTCACACCTCCAACCCCAACAATTGCCTTTCTTGTGTGCCTAAAATGTGTATCTTTGGGGTTTTTATTTTTGTTTGTTTGTTTTTTGGGTCCGGTCGTGGAGCCTGAACTTTGGGCCTGGGCGCTGTTCCTCAGCTCTTCAGCTCAAGGCTAGCGCTCTACCACTTGAGCCACAGCACCACTTCCAGCTTTTTTTCTTTTTACTTATGTGGTGCTGAGGAATCAAACCCAGGGGCTCAGGCATGCAAGGCAAGCACTCTACCACTGAGCCACCTTCCCAGCCCCCTATCTTTGGAAATGGATTCTTTGGTAAAGTCCAGGTGTGCACGTCTTATGAGTATTCTTTATGAAGAAGGGTATATCTCCCAGGAGCATCCCAGGCTCTCTGGCTACCTGGCTGCCACATCCCTTCTCTCCTTGCCCAAGGCTCTCCAGAGCCAGTACCAACCCTGGGAAAGATAGAAAAGCCAAGTATTGAAAATCATTGAAAAGGGTTGTTTTTTAACTTTCATTTGATTTTATTCTTAGCTTTATTTATGAGATTATTCCAATAGCAATTTATGTCAGTGATCCTTTATGATAGAATAAAGAGTTTAATGCTCATGATGATACCATGGGGCTTGCTTGGCACACTGCAGTATTTACTATTTTTAAATAATCATAACATTTCAGGATGGTCTCTTAGTGTGTGTGTGTGTGTGTGTGTGTGTGTGTGCGCGCGTGCGCGTGCGTGTTGGTCCTGGGGCTTGAACTTGTCCCTGAGCCTTTTTGTGTAAGATTAGTGGTCTACCACTTGAGCCACAGCTCCACTGCTGGCAATTTGGTGGTTAGTTGGGGAAACGAATCTCACAAACTTTTGTGCATGGACTGGCTTCAAACCAAAGTCCTCAAATCTCAGCCTCCTGAGTAGCCAGGATTACTCATGAGCCATTCAGTGCCCTGTTATTCTTTTTTTAAAAAACAATGGCTATGTCACTGGTTTTGCTGATAACTGCACCATGCCTTTTTGCATTGCATGCTCAACAGCATCAGATTTGTATCATACCCATTGAAGAATTCTCAACAGAATTTGTGAGACCTCAAGTCCATTGTATTGCCAGCTATGGGCCATTTGCTAATCAAAGGTAATGTATTTCCTTCCTTTTTTCCTTATTGATGCCGTGAAGGATACTGTAAGACTTCTAAGACTTGACTATCCTTGAAGTTCAAATTGACATTCAGGGTTTTGGAGTTTTAAAAATCTGGAATAATTGCATATGCATAATGCTATATCTTGGAATGTGATGCAAGTCTAAATTTGAAATGATTTTAGGTGTCATGTATATCTTATGCACATCACCTATAGGTAATTTTATACAATATTGCTCTGGTTATGACTTGTCATGTAAAATCAGGTGAAGAATTTTCCACTGTGGCATTAGGTCAGTTCCCCAAAGAATCTCAGATTTTGGAGGACTAAGGATTTTGGATTCACAAAGTTCAACTTCTGTGTAACTGAAGGAATGATTGTAAAGCCAAGGTGCTGAACTCTGGTGATAGATGTTAGAATGAGAAAAGACAGCTGAACAGTTTTCCAGAGATGTAAGTTTTCTAGCATGCCTTAATTTCAGGCTGTGCACACAGTATCTGGCTAGGGAAATGGTTAAGCCCAGGCCTTGAAGGCAGGATCACTGAGTTCTATTTTGAGGCCTTACTTTGTTCCAATCCTTTACTCTTCATGTCTGATTTTCTTCATTTGAAAATAAAAACCCACAAAAATAATGACTTATCTCACAACACTGTTATTAGAATCAACTCATTGGTGCAGAGTTTTAGTAGGATTGTTTTGTTGTAGATTGAAAAATATCCAGTCATGAAACTCTTGTCTTTGTACTTAGGACTGTAGAAACCTCTAAGTCAATGCAGAGCTGGCTGTGCCTGAAAGAAATGATGGGTATTTGTTTCTCTTCTCTAGAACATTATGTCAATATTAATATAGAGAGATGATAATGATGTATTGCATTGCTCTCATTTTAATAGTTAATTTTAGTTGGGGAAAGTGAAGTTTGAGTACGTTTCTACCTAGCATATTGTACTTTGAAAGTAGAATTTTCTTTCTGTCTTTATTAGTTGCATTGAGGGAGCTAGAATGTGCTTGGCTGACCAATTGAAGTATTTCTATAGGAAAGTCTTTAGAGTCCTGTGGTTCCCATCAGGCAGCCCTTTGATGCTTCCTTGGTCCTGTGTTCAAAGTCTGCTTCTTTGCTGATAGATAGCTGCATAGTGTTTTTGGATTACTGTAAAACAAGATTTTTAAATGTTTTATTTTTCAGTGCTACCTGTGTCTCCTTGCCCCATGAAACTCCTCCAACAGCCTTAATTTTAGATGTCCCTAGTCGGGGGCCTTCCTCTCTCTTGCCCCAGGAGTCTTCCCCTTCTGAGGGTGTCATTCCTGGCGTCACTTTGGAAGACTCACAGGTAGGACTTTACATGAATGTACTGCTTCTAGACCAGCAAGGCCCCTGAGCAGCAGCATCCACCTTATCTGGAAACTTATACAACAAGCACACCCCCCCCCCCACAGAGTTTCTGATCCAAGTCTGGGCTGAGGCCTGTCATTTGTCTTTTAAGATTCCCTCCAGGTTAACCTGATGCCCCTAAAGTTTGGAAGCTCCTACTCTCAACTGTGGACAACTCAGAAATACAGGTATCCGGTTAATCCTGCCCCTGGTCACCCAGCCTGAGGTGCCCTTTACCTCTGGATCTCTGTACATAGGCCATTTTTCAAGGCTTATTTGTGATACTTGTATTTGCATAGGCTTCTGTGTTTGGCATTGTGGAGTTTATTGTGTTTTTTTTCCCCTAACTATGATCATAAGACTTTGAGAATCTCTGCTGTAGCTAATAAGCTATTACATATTCCCTTGTGTACCTTGAATAGTATCTTTCAGGCAAAAAGTCCTCAAAAAAACACATATGAATTGACTATCTAGAGCACAGAAGTGAAATATACTCTATGTTGCTTTTTTTTTTAAACTGTCAACTATAAACTCATGGGAGTTGTAAAGTTCTAGATTCTGGAAATATACTTAAGGTTCTGATGATATTATGTCCTTGTATTGTCAAAGACCACTTATATTAGTTCTATAGCAGCACACTTGGAAATTAATGGGACTTGAAAGAGAAAAATCAAATAAGATCCTATAGGATTTTACAGTTAAGGGAACTGAGTTAAAATCAAATTGACTGAATTCTAGTTTTGTCATCAAACTAGTATATGATCTTCTGTAAGTTGGCTAGCCTTCCCTGGGTTATAGCTCTCATCTCAAAGATGACAATACTTCCTCCTCCTCCTCCTCCCATCCTCCCCCTCCCCCTTCTCCTCCTCCTCCTCCTCCTTCTTCTTTTTGTCAGTTGTGGAGCCTGAACTCTGGGCTTGGGCACTGTCCCTCAGCTCTTCAGCTCAAGGCTAGTGCTCTACCACTTGATCCATAGCGCCACTTTGGGTTTTTTTTTTTGCTTATATGGTGCTGAGGAATCGAACCCAGGGCCTCATGCATGCAAGGCAAGCACTTTACCACTGAGCCACGTTCCCAGCCCCGACAATACTTCTTATGTTACTGTTGGGATGTTGTCTTGTCTTTGGGAGAGAAGAGAGTTCACACACTTTAGCAGAAGGAGGAGTGTGGCTCTGGATTTCATTGTGATTGCTGTGAGGCTAAGGATGGGTCCAATTCTAAGGTAAGGGCTCCCAACCTATGAGCTGGAATTGGTGTGGTTTGACCTTTCCATCTAGGCCAATAGAGTGAACTTCTGGACTTCCTTATCGTATTGTCCACTTGTAAAGCAAAAGACGCAGAAAGTAGTAGAATTCGAAATGTATCAATGGTCAAATATCTCAAATGGAGGCTGAAACTTTTTTTTTCATGAATCACAATTAACTCTATCATAGTCATATGAATTGTCTGTGCGTGTTTTATCTTAAATCAGATTATACATTACAAAAGGCCTGAAACCATCTGTTTCTTTGCTTAACTACCTTCTGTTGGAAGGATAGAGAGTACAACACATTCTCTTTTCTTTCACTATTACATTTTTAGGAGGATTTTTTTTTTGGTGGTGCTAAGGTTCAAACCTAGGGTCTTACAAGTACTCTTCACTAAATTACCTGGAGGCTGGGTCTTTATTATATAGTTATTACAACTAGCGTTCACTACAGTAGACACACTTATGGGACATGCCCAGGGCTGTAGATGCTAGGTTATATGCTTGTCTTGGGTAAACATTACCAATTTTCAAAGTAGTTAACCAAATTACTCCTTCCCCCTGCTGACTCCATGAAATATATAGTTGTAGCACAGTTTGCTTGTCCATTTGGTAGGTGAGAGACATTTCGTTTCCTTCCAATTGTAACGGCAAATTAAGTGTGCTGTAAATAGCCATGCTAAGGTTTCTGCAGGAATACATAGGTTATCATTTTGCTCCAGTGACTATGTAGGTTGTTTTGGATGTTTCATCCCTACTTTGGTTCATTTCACATTGCCATAAAAGAGTACTTGAGAGTGGGTCATTTCTAAGAGTCGAGGTTTACTTAGCTCATGGTTCTGGAGGTTGGGAAGTCTAAGAATGGGTGGCCACATCTGCCAAAGGACTTCATACTAAGCCATCCCACAGCATAAGACACCGCACGGTAGGACTTGTAAATGGGCACTCTGAGAGACCCTGTCCATCTATTATTCATGAGGGCCTTGTCCCCATGATTTGAACATCTCCCCCCCTCCAACACAGCTACAATGAGGAACTGACTCTCATTCATTTTAATGGAACCACCTACATTGAAACCACAGCAACCTTTACATATCCCCTCATTTTTTCAAAGCTTTTCAGCTTGGGCATTTCTTGGTTTTTGTTTTTGTTTTCTCCTTAGAGCCAAGTGACCCTGAGAGGACTTGTACCACACCTAGGCCGGTATGTCTGTGTCATCCACTTTTATCAAACAGTGCACCCAACGTTTCCCGCCCAGGTGTTTGTAGATGGAGGACAGCCTTGGTCAGGTGAGCTGCCAATACCAGGCTCTGGACGCATGGCAGGCATCCGTGTACCAGCTTGTGAGTGGAAATCTTCTTGCTCTGTCTAGGTTCCTTCCTTGCCTCTTTCTGCCCCCATGTGCTTGGATGCCGGGATCAAGTGATTACTAAAGGCCAGGTTGAATTTGACATCTCAGAGCCTGAGGTGGCTGTGACTGTGAAGGTTCCAGAAGGGAAGTCCTTAATATTGGTGAGTTCTGCTTGTCCTTACCATTTTGCTCTTGTTTGGCTGCCATTCTGTGAATTTGTTTGGCTCATGACAGGGGTTTTTGAAGTTACATTCCTAGACAAAGGTTTTCATTTATAGCTATCAAAAGTAAAAAGTGGTTGGCAATTAAAACCAAGGGAAACAGAAATAATGGGGAGTGGGCATCTGGCCTGTCACCAGTCTCTGCCAACTCCTCATCCTCCTGGCCTCTCTTTCAAGCAGTTCTCACTCGGTCCCTCTTTTGGCCCCATACTGCTGCTTTTTCTCAGATGTCTCCCACTTTCTCACTTGCTCCCTTCGTGGCTCTCTGTCCCCAATGTCAGTGCCTGTTGATTCTGCTGTCTGCCCTGTGGGTATGGCACCCATATCTCTAAATTCAACCCCAATCTTTTCTGAACTCCCAACCACATATATGACCATCTATCGAATGTCTGTATCACCCAAGGATCTTAGGAGCCCTTCAGACTTGGGCTGTTGCCTGCAGAGACCCAGCACTGCTTGCTTTGTTCATTACATTGATTGAGGGACTCATAGCCTCCCATTATCCAGACTTCCTGGTGATAGGCCTTCTCTCCTTCCTCTGAACCACAGTATAGCACTCTGCCATGTTGCTCTGGTCTGATTGTTCTGGCAGGTTTTCTAGTCTCTCATTCAGACTGAACGGGGGCCTCAGGACATGGTCTTCCTTTCTGTCCTACATTCCTGTTGTCTATCTTATTCTGTCCTGGAAGTTATTCACCTTGCAGAAGTGGCCCTGGGTATGCCATATAACACAGGAATTTTTAGGGAATTCCTCACCATGACAGGCTCTGCTCTCTGTTTCACTGTGGTCTTCCTTCTTACCCCAGCCCATCTGCCTCCCACTGGTCCACATGTCTCACTCTGGCCTAGCTGTCTCACTCTGAGCCACCTGTTTAACTCTGATCCTGAGCACGCCTGACATTTTCCTAACTCATCTTTCATCTACCTCTCTTGATATTTCCCCCTTTCTTCTCCTTGTAACCCCTGCCACTCTATTCTCTGATTGTGTTCACCATTTACCACTGCACATCTCATTTTCTCTCATGCCACTAGATTTTCACATGCTTAATTTTTTTTGATATTTCTATCCACTTCTTTACTTGGGGAAATGCTATTAGTGCATTATCCTGGCTCACAATTTGTCTTTTCTATGGAACCTTCCAGACAGGAAGAAAACATGTCTTGGACTTTCCCCTGTGACCCGCAGTGCTGCACTTGTGCCTCCTCCCCCTCTCTGAGGATGCCATGGTCCTAGGGCATGGGACATTCATTTTCTATCCCCTGTGCCTACAACACTGCCCGGCCAAAAGTGCTCAGCAAATGCCTATTGAATTGGAAAGCAGAAGAAGCATGGGGTTTCTATAAGCTAGAAGCTAGTGAAAAGTGACAAAGGCATTTGAAATTTCCCACGGTATTTGCTTGAGGCACATTCTGATTTGTTCAGTTATAAGGAGAAACAAATAGTAGGACTTATAAAGACTACAGTTATTCCTTACAAGGTCCTAAGTAATCTTCTGGGGCCAGCCCTGGCATCAGGTTACATGTTGATTCTGCCACTTCGCTTACTTACCTTTAAAACACACAAAACGACAGTCCCTGGAGGTGCTGGGGAACCCCAGGCATGGGTCCTTTGACTGTCTGACCATGCTAACAGACCTTGTTTACCCCCAAGTCTTCTGACCCTGCTCAGATTCAAGGCCGCTGAAGCTCTGAGCTGGTGCTCTATTTCCTAGCACACAAGCCTTGAACCCAGCCTTACGTTTGCTCCGTGGGCTAAACAATAGGGCACAGATTCTTAGTGAACAGCAAGTGTAATGGACAGACAGTGGCGTGCAAATCCAAGTTGCATGACCATAGGTTTCTTTTAGGTCCGAGTTCTAGTGGTGCCTGCAGAGAATTATGACTACCAGATACTTCACAAAAAATCGGTGGACAAGTCCTTCGAGTTTATTAACAGTTGTGGAGGGAACAGTTTTCATATCGAGTAAGTGGTCTGGGACAGTGCATGCTCCCATTCCCAAGCACAGCAAAGTCCAGGGAGGGGCTGGCCCTGGGTCTTCTCTCTTTCCCCCCACCAAGGAAGTGGCAGTGAAGCAGGGGTCCAAGGAGGATGAAGTTCTGCCTCCACATTCATGGACCCTTACCATGTGTCTGACTACCCTCATCCTTGATCTCAGCAGAGTTCTGCCCTCCAGCTGGGTTCTGTTAGAAAGGCCTCTTTCTCTCTGATCCTTTCTGTTTGCCACCCAGGGTGTTCTTCACTGGCAAAGATGTTAGTCTTGGTACCCACTTGCCTCTGCCATCCTAAATGGAGAATGTCCAGAAAATGTGACCTCCTTGTGCCCTCATTTCACATCCCTAAGTGCTAAGGATTAGGTCATTCCATGTTTGAGCTCTGCTGCTGGCCCCAGTGCCCTCACATAGGCTTCTTGATGGACCAAGCATCTCCAGAGGCCCCAGGAACATAGGCCTCCTATACAGTCATATCAAAAGCCCAGCTGATGCGCATTGAAGTCTCTGACTGGCTGCTCCATACTTCTCAGTCCTGGGAATGTCACTTAACTTGTAGGCACCTCAGTTACTTTATTTGTGAAATGGGGTCAGGCCTAATTGGTTGGCTGGTTGGGAAAAGTAGGCTTTAGTATGCGTAGATGATTCTCTTCCTCCTCCTTAACCTGTTACCACACCTGGAGGTGTGCTTTAAAAGTAACTCCTTTTTTGAGCTATAACTCACCTACCTGTAAGTGTATGTTTACCCTTTGCTTCTAGCCACCCCCAAGTTCCCGCTTATCATTCTGTGATGTCCTCTGTGGGGAATAGAGTAGCTATACCTGGCTGTTAGGGGAGAGGGAATATTCTCATTTTCCCAGGGCCCGGAATCTCTCCCAAAGACACAGCTAGTAGAGCAATGGGAAAGAGAAGGTTGGTGGTGGGGGGCATTTCTAGACACATGTCTCAGGGTGTCAATCATGAGTTGTTTTCATTTCCACAGCCCCCAGACAGCCTCGGGATTCTGTAAGAATTCTGCCAAGTCCCTGGTGGCCTTCTACCATAATGGCGCCCTGCCTTGTGAGTGCCACCCAGCCGGGGCCACTGGCCGTCACTGCAGCCCCGAAGACGGGCAGTGCCAATGCAAGCCCAACGTCATTGGGCGGCAGTGTACCCGCTGTGCTGTGGGTCACTATGGATTCCCTCAATGCAAGCGTAAGTGAGTGTTCTCAGGCCTCGGAGGCCTTTCCTGGTCCCCAGGGGTTGATGCTCACCCAGGGCAGAACTTCTCAGAAGCCACTCTGTGGAGACTCATGGGGAGGTCTTATGAAATGCAGATCCTGATTCAGGACACCTACCCTGGAGTCTGAGACTCTCATTTCCAGTGAGCACCCAGGTCCCACCAGGGCCTCCCAGCCATCGACCATGTTCTGAGTGGCAAGGCTCCAGAATATAAACATTTGCGATTCTTGTGCTATGTGATCCAGGTACTTGGTATATTGCATGAGTGTGAACTTTTCGAGGACAGCTCAATCCCCTTCCTAGGGGATTTTGGGACTGAGCTAAAACTCTGTTGAGATAAGAGAGCCAGGGTTACATGGAAGTACTACTTGCTAAACTATCAAAAAATCATCCCATGACCCAGTGCATGGGTATGGGGTGTGGTATGGCAGTGAGGAGTGCATGGTATGTACTCAGCCCACCAGGGGGACTGACCTTTGCCTGAATGAGCAACAGCCATGGAACTCCTGTATTATGTACTGAGCCTGGGCTTCGGACTTGCAGTGCAAGACCTTTTAAGGGCTGCTTCAGGGAGTAGTCCTGGGTTGGCTTTCTTCTAGAACCTTCAGGTGAATCCACACGAGCAGTTTGGGGGGGTTCTTTGAAGTATCTAGCTTGGAGCCAATTAGCCCAATTGTGCCCCAGTTAGGGTCAGCACACGATAATTTGCTATGTTTGGTTTTGATCCCAAAAAGAGGGACTCGCAGATCAATCATGTTCAGTCATGTCCACAATGAAGAGAAAATAAAACACGTCTCCTGGCTGGACTTCTTCTGGAAGTCCTGGTGGCTGGTGTGGTCCTGCTGCTGATCAGGCAGTGGTGTCTACCACCCCTCAGCCTCACGTGGTATTTCTTTATTCCCTGCAGCATGCAACTGTGGCAGGCGCCTTTGTGAAGAGATGACAGGGCAGTGTCTCTGCCCTCCCCACACGGTCAGGCCCCAGTGCGAGACCTGTGAGACGGATTCCTTCAGCTTCCATCCCCTGACTGGCTGTGAAAGCTGCAACTGTTCCAGAAAGGGCACCGTGGGCGCTGCCATCCATGAGTGTGACAGGGATAGCGGGCAGTGCAGGTGAGCTATGGTGGATGATCATGTCAGGCCCTGTCCTGGCAGGTAAGATGCCATCCATCCACATGCTGTACTGCATTCACTTCCTGGGCAGAATGATCATCATGGGTTGGTTGATTGGTTGCTAGGGGCTCAGGGTAACTGGTCAGAACTAGGGTGACTGGGTCAGGAGTCCCCTCAGGTCATTACCAGCCTTGCCCACTTGTTCCAGTATGCTGTGCCAGCAGCATTGTTGTGCCCATGACACCAACAGTGGGGAGGAACTATGAATTTGTAGTGAGTGATCAGTGACTCTTACTGTGGTATGGAGTGATGAGTTCCTCTGTCTGTATTCTAGCGTTAGCTAGCAGTACTGTTAAAGACCTAACAAAGCCTGAAGTCTTTGGAACTCCTCCCTAACTCAGATGCTGGGGCTCCACCGTGGGGCCTGGTGGGGAGCGAGGAAGGAGGCCGAATGGGCTACGCTCAGGAACGACGGAGCTAAGAGGTAGATGGTACCAAAGCGCTGCTCAGAGCTAAGAGGTTTGGTCCAATGGGTCTGGCCCTGCACAGGAAGAAAGATATTTGTGACACGTGATCCCAGGTGAAGAACTTGATCTCAACAGGGTTGGATAGTGGCTATAGAGAATGAAGAACAGAATCCAGTCTCCTAGAAGAGACTGGATTTTTATGACAGGAAAATGGAACTTCCAGGATCCAAGTCAGCCTGGTTTATTCAGGAGAAAGCATAAGGTTCATCATCCACCCTACACACCTTACATGTGTGGACCTTAAAGGAGGACTACAGTGGCTGGTCAGAGCCCTCAGTGTCTCCAACTTGTATTCGTTTCCTCTGGCTGCTGTACAAATGAATACTGGCTTGGGGCTTTAAACCATCACAGCCTTCTCTCTCACCACTCCAGAGGTTGGAAGTCTGAAATCAAAGTGTTGGCAGGCTCAGTTTCTCTGAGGCTCCAGGCCTTTTTCTAACCATCTGGTATTGCCTTGGTCTATGGCTGCATTACTCCTATCTCTGCCCTGGTCGTTACATGCTGTTTTCCTTGGGTGGCTCTGTCTTTGCATGACCTTATCCTCTCTGTGTATATCCATCTCTTATTTTCTTACAAGAACACCATTCATACTGGCCCAGGACCCAGTTTACTCTGGGGTAGCCCCACTTTGGTTACATCAGTGAAGACCTATTTCCAATATGATCACTTTGCCAGGTCCTGACAGAACTCGAATAACTCTCTGGAGCATGGTGTCACTTTTCTTAAGACCCTTCACCACATCTTACTGTTGCCTTCCAACTCTTTTAGGCTGCTAGGTCCTTGAAGGAAGTAGAGAGAAAAACTTGACTCACAGGATATTCTGACTCTTTAAACCATGAGTGTGAGTCTGGCCTGAGTCAACTAGTCAGTCAATCGCCAGGGATGGGCCCTAGGAATACTTGTGCTTAATCACAGGAAGGGAGGGAAACAAGAAGGGGAATGGAGCAGCAGTGGATGGAGTTCAGTCAGGGAAAATAAGCGGGAGAGGATTTCCTGTCTGAGTACTGGAGAGAGAGGTTTAGAAGGAAATTCTGATCAGCAGAATAAATGGTTGTAAACATAGTCTCACACAGTTTCTCAATGCTACTGCCATGGTGTGTCCTGGAGGATATGTAGGAGTTGGAGGAAGAGTGCTTTAATAATTTTTTAAATTGGTTAAGGCATCTGGAGGTGATGGATGAACTTACATAATATTTTAGGAAAGAGTTCTGAGGCTTTCCTTAGATGGTAACAGTTTATTAGGCGGGAAGATTCCTAACTCAGATACAAGGCTTGTTATCTCATACTGCCCAAACCTGGGGCAGGATCTTACTGACCTGCATCACATTTAACCTTAGATTAAACCTTAGATTACACCTATGATTAAAGTGAGTTTGCCTGAAAGGGGTCCTTGGCAGACATATAAAACAAATCTTGTACTTAACATGGCTGTAAATTGTAAAGATTGTCCATGGTAGTTATAAATACTGAAAAAAAGTTTTGATTGCCCCCAAGGTATTTATTTCATTATAAGGTATCAGAGGGGGAAAACTTTTCCCCTCAAGAAAATTTCCTAATGGAAATGAAAACTATGTTTAGGAAAATCAAAACTTTATATAAAAGAAATGATCAGGAATGCAGTATCTATCTTTTCCCAATGACATGACTGTCTTGCAGCTGGACACAGAGCTTTACAACTGGAGCTTTAAGTTGTATTCTGTCTTCTTAGAAGTTTTAAAGTGTGCTGGGCACCAATGACTTACTCCTGTAATCCTAGCTCCTCAGGAGGCTGAGATATGAGGATTACGGTTCAAAGCCAGCCTGGGCGGGAAAGTCTGTGAGAATCTTATCTCCAATCAACCACCAGAAAACCAAAAGTGGCGCTGTGGCTCAAGTGGTAGAGCACTTGCCTTGAGCTGAAGAGCTAAGGGACAGTGCCCAGGCCCAGAGTTCAAGCCCCATGACTGATTAAAAAAAAAAGTTTTAAAGTTCACCATGTTCACTAAAAGAAAAAAATCAGACTGTTAGAGATACTAAACTACTTTAAAATGCATTACAAAAACAATTCGAACAAGACACAACACTGACTCTTCATCTAGAGATAGCTGGGATACATTTAGTTTGAACCATAAAACTGAGTTCCTGGCCTGTCTTGTCCCATGATAAAGCCACTGGGAACAAATGGCCTTTCTGGGTCTCAGTCTCCTAATGTGTAAAATAAAACGTGAAGAAAATCATCTCTAACTTTCCATTTAAACGTAATGTTGTAATCCTCTTTTTAATCTCTAGTTGTATCCAAACAATATTACAAACATTATATTGTATAGATATCAAGTCTATCTTGCCCAAGCCTATTACACGAAGATCTTAAAAGATACTTAATTGAAATTCCATTTTTAACCATGTAACTTGAGGGGATGGGTGGGTTGGGATAGACAGGGAGGAGAGAGGATGGAAGAGTGATGTTGATCAAGATGCATTATACTCATAAATTGATAGGTTGAGTTGAAACCCCTTTGTACAACTACTTAAAAATAATTTTAAAGGGAAAGAAAATTAACAAAAAGAAATTCGATTCTTATAGCAGTACGAAAGAGCAAATATGTGTATTGAACCAAATACAATAACAATGGAAAAAGAAATTTACATCTGTTCTTACTGCATTTTAATTAAATGTGTTTTTAATTAAGTTTATTTTTATTATGCATTTTGCTTTCAAAAATGGAAGAGACATGCTGTCTGAATCTTGGAACACACAAACAGGCTAGAATATCTTCATAGACTTTATCAGTCATGGACAGATATAAAGAAGATCAGAATCACTTTATTTTATTTTATTTTTTAAATTTTGTTTGTTTTTGGCAGTAGTAAAGTTTGAACTCAAGACTTTGATCTTGCTTGCTTACTGCTCTCTGCCTCCAGCCCAAACATTTCCTTTAAAAACTGCCATAGTGTTGACCGCTTTCAAGCTATTTGAGATGGGTTGAAGGAAATGATGTCCCCCACTAAACATCCAGTGAAGCCATGCACATCATGTGCCTTTTTGGAGGAGTAGCAATGGAAAAGCCAGTCCTGACAAATTTACTATTGTGGAAGAGAGAGAAATAGAGTATCAGAAAAGGTCACAGATGAGTCCTTCTTGGGACAGAAGTCTTTCCAGTGAGGCCCAAATGAATTGGAAATGTAATTCCTTTGGTGAACCTCATTAAATAACTGGAATGGGGGTACCCAGGTAGCATGTAGGTGTTGGGACCTGGTAGTGAACAAGGCTCAAAACTCTCACCTATACTCTGTCATCCTTCTTCTATACCACGAACTTCTTTCTCTCAACTCTCCATACTTTCTAAAATCTGAAATCAGTATCATCTTGAGATAATCCTCTTATTAGCATATACTAACAGTCAAATCAGATGTCAGCCTCTGGCAAGGGCTATATTTCCTTCCCTCTTTCATGGCTTTGCTCACTGCCTGCTAGCCACCTGTTTGTGTCCTCCTACCTTCCTGTTTCAGTGCTGCTGATGCTCTCCTGATTGGCTTTCCTTTCCTATTTCACTAAAGCACTTTTGGGGAGGCTTCTTAATCTAAAAGAACTTTCTAAATATACTTGGGTTTTCAAATCTGTTTGCCTTTTATGTCACAGGTGCATGGTACTATTAGTCTATAAAACTCAACAATGTTAGTGAGTGAAAATATGTTTATGATTTTATCTTTTTGATGCGTGAGTTCTTTTCTCTTTCAGTATCTACTTCTAAAATTTTTTATCCACACCTAATTATACATAGTTATAAGCACAATGCTGTTTCAATTTATGTATACATTCCATTCCATAGTGATCAAATCAGGGTAATTAACATAAATCATCTCAAACTTTCATCATTTCTCTATGGCAAATACATTCAAAATACTGTTTCTTTTGAGTTATACCACACATTATTGTTAACCACTTCTCATTCTCCAGTGAATCTCTACAGCCTCTTAACAACTCTGTGTGTGTGTGTGTGTGTGTGTGTGTGTGTGTGTGTTTGTGTGTATGTGTGTGTGTGTGTGTGTGTGTGTGCTACTAGAGTTTGGATTCAAGGCTCCACATTTGTTTGGCTTGCTTGCTAGGTTGGTGTCCTAACTTGAGCCACACCTTCAACTCTGCTTTTTACTGGTTATTTTGGAGATGGGATTCTGTTGAATTTTTCTACCCATCCACAGTAGCATTTATATCTTCCAGATCCCAGCTTCCTAGCTAGGATAATAGGCACAGGCCATTGATGTATGGCTTAACCAGTTTTCTTAACTCACCTTCTATAAGACCAACTCTTTTTAGATTCTATATACAAATGAGATCATACACCATTTTACTTTGATGCCTGACTTAATTCACTTAGAACAATGCCTTCCAGATCATCCATCTATGCTGTGACAAATGACAAATTTCACTTACTTAATGGTATTCCATTGTGTATATGTCACATTTTCTTGATCCATTCATCCATTGATTGGCAC